ATGTAGATGACGCGCGATGGTTTGTGAGCGGAACAAATAATCCGAATCGACCCGTCCGAGCAGACTGCTCATTATGTGGTGCCCTTGATACTATCCGCAGTAAGTTTGTGTGTCTGTTGCAGTAGCGTGGGGTGTGCATCGTCTGTGGTCGTGCCATGTGTCGTGTGCAGAGTGTGTATATGAGTGAGTAGGAGGACGTGTAGCAGTGTGTAGTGTGTATATGTGTGTGTTTGGTGTGCTGTTTGGTGTGTGTTTGGTGTGTTATTGTGTGTGAAATGTGGTGTGTTGTAGTGGGTTGAAGGATTCTCGTTAGTATAGTGGTTAGTATACCTGCCTGTCACGCGGGTGACCCGGGTTCAATTCCCGGACGGGAAGCTTTTGTTCAATCCTGTTTTGTTTCTTGTGTTCCTTTGCTCGTTCGTTTTTGCTTGTGCGGTTATTCTCTCTTTGCTCTTCACTCTTCCTTCTATGGTCGTCGTCGTCGTCTTTTGGTCCGCGCTCTTTTCTTGTCGCTCGTTGCGCTTGCTCTTGACGACTAGCTTCGTATACGAGGAACTATGGAAGTATGCCGCAAGCATCCACGGTACAGACCCCGCGCATCTGGTGTATGATTGTGCTATGACTTTGGTAAGGCAGAAGACAATTGCCGAGTGGAACCCGTGTATCTGGGATATGGACAGGCAGAAGACAAGCGCTGGGAGGCAGAGAACAAGGGTATAGTGGAACTCATCCCGGGTTCGGTTGATCAACCTTGTGCCAGCATCTGACCTGCTGCTGGCTTTCATCCTGCTGATCATGTAGATGACGCGCGATGGTTTGTGAGCGGAACAAATAATCCGAATCGACCCGTCCGAGCAGACTGCTCATTATGTGGTGCCCTTGATACTGTCCGCAGTAAGTTTGTGTGTCTGTTGCAGTAGCGTGGGGTGTGCATCGTCTGTGGTCGTGCCATGTGTCGTGTGCAGAGTGTGTATATGAGTGGGAGGACGTGATGCAGTGTGTAGCGTGCATAGGAAGTGTATTTGTGTGTGTTTGTGTGCGTGTGGTGTGTGTTTGGTGTGTTATTGTGTGTGAAATGTGGTGTGTTGTAGTGGGTTGAAGGATTCTCGTTAGTATAGTGGTTAGTATACCTGCCTGTCACGCGGGTGACCCGGGTTCAATTCCCGGACGGGAAGCTTTTGTTCAATCCTGTTTTGTTTCTTGTGTTCCTTTGCTCGTTCGTTTTTGCTTGTGCGGTTATTCTCTCTTTGCTCTTCACTCTTCCTTCTATGGTCGTCGTCGTCGTCTTTTGGTCCGCGCTCTTTTCTTGTCGCTCGTTGCGCTTGCTCTTGACGACTAGCTTCGTATACGAGGAACTATGGAAGTATGCCGCAAGCATCCACGGTACAGACCCCGCGCATCTGGTGTATGATTGTGTTATGACTTTGGTAAGGCAGAAGACAATTGCCGAGTGGAACCCGTGTATCTGGGATATGGACAGGCAGAAAACAAGCGCTGGGAGGCAGAGAACAAGCGTATAGTGGAACTCATCCCGGGTTCGGTTGATCAACCTTGTGCCAGCATCTGACCTGCTGCTGGCTTTCATCCTGCTGATCATGTAGATGACGCGTGATGGTTTGTGAGCGGAACAAATAATCCGAATCGACCCGTCCGAGCAGACTGCTCATTATGTGGTGCCCTTGATACTATCCGCAGTAAGTTTGTGTGTCTGTTGCAGTAGCGTGGGGTGTGCATCGTCTGTGGTCGTGCCATGTGTCGTGTGCAGAGTGTGTATATGAGTGGGAGGACGTGATGCAGTGTGTAGCGTGCATAGGAAGTGTATTTGTGTGTGTTTGTGTGCGTGTTTGGTGTGTGTTTGGTGTGTTATTGTGTGTGAAATGTGGTGTGTTGTAGTGGGTTGAAGGATTCTCGTTAGTATAGTGGTTAGTATACCTGCCTGTCACGCGGGTGACCCGGGTTCAATTCCCGGACGGGAAGCTTTTGTTCAATCCTGTTTTGTTTCTTGTGTTCCTTTGCTCGTTCGTTTTTGCTTGTGCGGTTATTCTCTCTTTGCTCTTCACTCTTCCTTCTATGGTCGTCGTCGTCGTCTTTTGGTCCGCGCTCTTTTCTTGTCGCTCGTTGCGCTTGCTCTTGACGACTAGCTTCGTATACGAGGAACTATGGAAGTATGCCGCAAGCATCCACGGTACAGACCCCGCGCATCTGGTGTATGATTGTGTTATGACTTTGGTAAGGCAGAAGACAATTGCCGAGTGGAACCCGTGTATCTGGGATATGGACAGGCAGAAGACAAGCGCTGGGAGGCAGAGAATAAGCGTATAGTGGAACTCATCCCGGGTTCGGTTGATCAACCTTGTGCCAGCATCTGACCTGCTGCTGGCTTTCATCCTGCTGATCATGTAGATGACGCGCGATGGTTTGTGAGCGGAACAAATAATCCGAATCGACCCGTCCGAGCAGACTGCTCATTATGTGGTGCCCTTGATACTATCCGCAGTAAGTTTGTGTGTCTGTTGCAGTAGCGTGGGGTGTGCATCGTCTGTGGTCGTGCCATGTGTCGTGTGCAGAGTGTGTATATGAGTGGGAGGACGTGATGCAGTGTGTAGCGTGCATAGGAAGTGTATTTGTGTGTGTTTGTGTGCGTGTTTGGTGTGTGTTTGTGTGTTATTGTGTGTGAAATGTGGTGTGTTGTAGTGGGTTGAAGGATTCTCGTTAGTATAGTGGTTAGTATAACTGAGTCGACTCTGATCGTTGATATTGGTCTTCAATAGTTCCACGTTGGGATCCTCTTGGAGCGACGTCGCATCAAGGTTCTTCCAGTAATTTTGAAGTGGATGGATTTTCTCCCCTCGTATGACCCGTGGGAATTGGAGGTACTCTTCCGTCAGGATTGTTCTGATGCCTTTGATTCTTTTGACCAGGATGGTTCAAAGCAACGAAAGCAGTCTTCGAGAGCTTGCTAGCGCTAGGTGATGCGAAAGCAAGGTCAGTAGGCTGGCTCGTCCTATGATCTTCTGAACAAGCCGACGTTGGTATATCACTTGCATGAGAGGTACGGGCAGTTGCTTCAAAATCAGGATCCCACAAGTCTTTGACTTATATGTGAAAGCTGATTTACGATTAGATTTAAGCTTTGCAAAACTAAAACAAAGTCGCAGCTCTAACCAAACATTCTGCTCTTTTGAGCTTCAGCGCAAGTCAGAGAGACTTGACAGCTGACAAGATTGTTCAACCCAACGGGTGAGCTGGTGATTATCTTGCACAGACGTTTCACCTGGTCCTAACACCACTGGTATGTCATTTAGTGGAGACACCAGCACTCCGCGTGACTGTCGTGACAGTCGATCCTGATACGATTTAATCGTAAGCTCCTGTCGAGCTTCCTCGTTCGTATCCCAAAGCGCGAGAGTTCTTAACTTTCCTAAGGCTACCTTTACAAGCTTTTGACTATGCGGTTATAAATAATCACGTCTCCAAGAGACCAGTATCAGAGATATTTTTTTACACAAGGACAAATGACTTAGCAGCAAATGCTATATAGAGCAGGTTTTGAACGGATTCATTCGATGTTTATCTTATACCACTAAATATAGAAGAATCTACTCTATACTTAGTGCTTGTCACCATTATATAGCTCTGTAGACGATTTAATGTGCAAAAATATGCATTCATGATGCTTAAACTAAGTCTAATGACCACGTGGCTCTCTGCCACGATGTGATTTATGTACCTTAGGTACGATCACATCGACCCACCATTGTACCCCAAAAGACAGCCATGTGGCATGTGCATATGTAAATTGTATATCTTATGTAACCCTGTTACACCCTCCTTCACCAATCCGCGGGACCCGGCGTACCCACTATTTTCGAATGTAATGTGGAGTTCTGTCGATTTGGTTATTCCTACTTTGCTTGCCTCGATAAAGTGCTCCATACTTGCGTCCAAAGATTCTTTAGTGTTACAAAACTTGCTCTTTGAGCACCCAGTGCATTGCAGTTACGCTTAATTCAAAAAAGTGTTACCACACTTGCTCTTTAAACATTCAGCGCATTGCACTTACGCTGACGTATCTTAGTGTTACGACACTTGCTTACTAAGCGTGAAATGCCTAACAATTACTTTAAGCATTTCGTTATTTTGAACACTTGCTCCTTGAGTATCATCATTCTTTGCGTCAATACAGACGAAGCGTCATACGCTTGCATTTTGGATTACAAATTAGTTGCGCTACTTCATCATGGATGAACCGATGCGCCGTGACATCTTTGGAGACGATGATAGTGACGTTGCCTCTCGGGTCAGCGGTGGCGAGTCTTCGTCGAGTCGTAGTACCCACGCTCCCCGAGAGAGGGACGACGGTCCCAATCCGTGACCTCTTCCCCAAGGTAAACAACTACGTTGCGCCAAGCGCCACCGCTTTACTCTCATGAGGGTAGGTATCGAACCCTCTTGACGCTGCCCAGCGTCGTCAACTCAATGACAAGGCCCGAGCGGCCGCCGGCACAACCCAAATAAACATTGCCACGTCATGATTATGGGTGAAGAGATAAAGATCCTAGAGCTTGTTTCCTTCTGCACCTAGTACCTAGTAGCTTTGCTACATATATCTGCTACAGCGCTCAAGTAGAGCGACGTAATACGACGACCAGTTTTTATACGTGTACCGGAATCGTTGTTCAGCTTTTTTATCATATTTGCGTCGGGCAGCTGTGTTAGTTTCACTACAGTTATCCTTCATACAGACATGGCGAAAGCTATACGATAACGCAATGACTAGTACTTTCGTTTGCATCTACGTATGTCAGCTTTCACGCAGTTGAAACTAATAGAAACAACGAGAGGTCGATTTCTATGTTTTGCTCATCATTTCTAAAGACTTTGTACCAAATAAGTATTTACGATCAAAATGAGAAAGTAAATTTGAGTGTGTTTATATAAAATGGGTACACACTACATTCCAGTGAGCTCTAGATAAATACGCAAACAAGTTAGACGCCATGGCGGTCGGTGTATACTCGTTTCCATTGCTCAAGCCACGCGAGATCTTTGCATGTTTAGGAGAAATGCGCGTACTCGTATCCGAGGAAGATATACGCGCTTGTGATCCAGCTGCCGTACGCACAGTACTCGAAGCGTTTATTGAGAATACCATGGGCGTGACACGCGAGGATATGGCACAGATTGCATTCCCAGGTCTATCAACCTTAAGCTTCCCTGAAATCCACGCCGAGTCGATTCCAGAGCTTATTTTCTATCGTAAAGCTCAAATGTTGTTAGCGGCTTGTGGTGTCGATGACTTTGGACTGCGTGATGTCTTGCACCCGACTCCCAAGCGCGTCCGACGACAGCTCAGTGCACTTATTAACTTTGCCAAGTTTCGAGAGGAGCGATTGGCGGCATTTAGTGATGTCACAGGGCAAACAGATGAGCTAATGGATCAAGCAAAAGGATTGCGTGAAGAGAGTGCGATGTTGCAACGAGAATTGGACCAGCTATTGGAAGAACAAAAGGCTGAGGAACCGGCACGACAACAGCTGCAAATGGAAGTTACGGAATTACAGAAAGAAATTAATGTACTGAACAGGCAGCAAGCAGTGATGCATCATGAGAAGGATGAAAAGCGGGATAAACGAAAAGAGATGGAGGACATTGTGGCGTCTGCGAGGTTTAACAGGATTGAAGCAGAGGCGGAAATTGAAAGACTCAAGGCGCAGATTGTTACGTCACCTGATCGGGTCAAAGGAGAGCTTGCAGCAATTGCAGAAACGGTGGAAAAGGCCAAGGACGATGTGCATGTGCTGGAAGAGAAACGCAGCGTTGTACTGGGATTCATTGACGTGTATGAGAGAGCGGAGAAGGAACTGGCAAGGACGTTTACACTGTTGGATGAAATTGAGCAGGAGATGGAAGCGTGCAAGGAAGCCAAAACTCAGGTCAAAAACGCTCGTACGCGTATCCATGAGCTTAAAGTTCTTACTTTGGAGACAAACACTCGACGACAACGGCTGGAGAAAATCGTCGAGCTGAAAAGACGAGACCTTTGGAGGTTTATTGAAGAAGCACGAACGGCAGAAGAAGCTGCTTCTAAAGCACTTCAAATTGCTCGTGATAAGCTCAAGAAGCTCGAGTTTGTACACTTAGAAGTCCGCCAGCGCATTGTCCAGAACACAGATGCCAGTCGCAAGGTGGAGCTCAATATGAGAGAGATGGAAGCCCAGTATGAGAAAGAGCTCAAGAATTTGGAGCAGGTGCAGTATGTACTCATTCATGTAACGTTATTGGTGTTTGTTGCTGACCTTTGTCTGAGTTGTGTGCTGTGTGATTACTACAGATGTACGCACGTCTTCAGCAAGCCGCAAACTACTACAATGAGCAGGTGCTCAAGGCAATTCAGTCAGGTTCTTAGTCGTATTGAAGCACATCTTTCGTCAGGTTTTGCATTTAGTGTATCCATGATATCTGTATGCATTGTAATTGTATTTTGCGCAAGAAATTCTTTCGCTGCACTAGCGACTGCATTTTAATATTTTAGCTCGTGGAATATGACTAAGCACCTCGGTGCTTTCTGTTTGCTTGGTACCGAACTGCTCGATAATGGTGTCGTTGCACCGCGCGGCGATAATTTGTAATATGATAGTATCGTTGGTAATGTTGACTACGGAGCGGAGACGATCTAGAATCCAATCCGCACTCACTAGAATGGTGAACACAACTGGTACGTCCACGCTAAAAACTGTCCGCCACACCGTGAGAACCATCACCAAACCTGCATGTGGCACGCCTGTAACACCAAATGAAGCAATGGCACTAACACAAGCCAACAGCACATAGCGCAGCGGTGTCAGCAACGCATCATGTCCACCAAGTTTTGCCAAAAAGACACAAGCTAACGGCATGTACACGGCCGTGCCATTCAGGTTCGTCATGGTTCCAAGAGGTAAGACAAATCTTGAGATCTGGCACAAATTTTCCTTCATACTGTCTACGCAGTGCATGGTCACGGGCAGAGCTGCAATCGATGATGAACATCCAAAAATAAAAAGCTGGGCTGGGAGCATGTGCCACAAGTGCACGAAGATATTCCTCCTCGTCGTCACAAAAAGTACCAACCCAAAGATTACAACAGTAAGCGTAAATAACGCTACAATCAGAGTACCGATTAAGAAGGCAACACCATGAATCAGCATCACTGACGAGTTGTAAGTAGCGATTGAACCAGCGATTAGCGAAACGACAGCAATTGGAATGTATTTCACCACCATATTCACGAGTAGAAGGATCACTCTATTTGCGTGGGCCACCATGAGAAGAACATAGTTCTCCACTCCAGCTTCTTTGTCCAGGCTCTTCATTAATGCAATCCCCATTACGACGGCGAACGTAATGACGCTCAAAGTTGATGTCCCAGCAAACGCATCAAAGATATTATTCGGCACAAGGTCCTTCAGAACGAAAAATATCTGCTCTGACACAGTCAGCTTTTCGTACAGTGTATCCGACGTCAGCAAATAGCCGCTGACATCATTCAGCACAAACATACTATTCGGCATCGTGCCATTCATTGAGCTGCATGCAGCTAACCAATTTGGCAAGTAGGAGAGGTATCTTCCATTCGCACACTTGATGCTTAGCGATGGGATAGTTGGCTTTATTGGTACAACAGCAGTCGACAAATACAGCTTTGACATAGCGAAAGCAAAAAGAGTGCCGACGCATGAAGATGTGATTGAGGCGACAACATACGAAAGGACTATTCGTCTCCCAATCAAAGCGGCCTTACCAGCTTCTACCAACTCGCCGATACATATGATGATGTTGCAAAACACCATCGAAGTCACTAAACACTTGAGCGCCGAGACGAATAGGAGACCCGGCATCGCAAGCCAGTCGGCCCATGCACCACTAACTTTGTAGTGAAGAAACATTACGCCCGTCATGAGGCCAATTGCGGCACCAAGACCCACTCGCCAGATATTTCTATTCGCGCTCTTGTCGTCATAAGGTAATGAAATCATGTCTTTCAATGCTACTCCTTCGTGTAAGATCGGCTTGTTTTTCGCGCAAAAAGGAGGTGGTTGGCGGTCCTCTGAGGGAAAATCAAAATGCAGTATCGCTCCAAGCTGTGTCATAGAGAAGCCGCTTTCCGAGTCATTCAGACATCTTGACTCGTTCAGACCACTTGACTCGTTCAGACTACTTGACTCATTCAGACTTCTTGCATCTTTTGAACTCCCTAGGCCGTTTAAGCTCCTTACATTACTTACGCTCCTTGAGTCGTTCAAGCTTCTCGAATTGTGTGCGCTGTTTAAATCGTTTGAACTTCTTGAATTGTTTGGACTCCTTGTTGAGTTGTTCATTATCTTTACAAATAGTCCTGACTCTCTCTTTCTGATCTCTGCTACCACACTTGGGCTCACAATCGACCCACGAGAAGCACGTCCTGCGTGATATTGTGCCTTATTGCTGCCCTAGTCACCACACTCCACCGAAAATCGAATTGTTCAGCTCGTCACAAACCTACTGTGCGTAGTTGCCAGCCGGTATAATAGTAGCAAGAAATGTATGGCCTATTCGCCTTTGCAAATCTGAAGATGCGTCGTTGCTCGCCCTTTGTTCCTACGTCGTTCCGCCGTTGTGACCCGTATCATTCAGTATACTTGATAGATGTCGTAGGTTCCGTGGTCGATGTAATCATGACCTGCTACAACTTTCTACAAGAAGGCGTTGATCGGAGCACTGATTGGCTCTACAACGATGACTATTTACTTAAAGGCTTCGAGTGCTGCACAACCATTATGCCTTATTTGCTGTGGCGAACCATGACACGGAAGTCGATGGTCGTCGTTGGTGCTTTTTCTAATCAAGCGTGGGCGGTATTCCAAAGTATGCAGCGCCGCTTCTCGTCGGCTGCAAAACTGAAAATGGCGGAGCAGATACCTCGATCAAGTGTCACGTCATGGGCACTAAGCACGAGCAAGAACGCGAGCCTGCGGTCAAGAAGCAGTGGTGTAACACCCACCAACTCGTTCTGAAACGACATATCCAGCCTCATGCAGCGCGTCCGATAGAGCTGAACATATTCGTCATTATCAGGCCGCCGAGGTGGCTCTGTACCTTTCTCCGGTAGATCCAGCTCCAGCAACGCCAACCTTTTATTAAATTCCAAAGCATCATGCAGATGCCGCACACCATTGCCACCAATCTCATTGTTTGCGACGCGCAGCTCATAGAGCACAGGGACACGATCTGGTATTTGATCGCGCAAAGCTGATGTGAGAACGTTGAATGAGTCAGCACCAATAAGGTTGGCATTGAGATTCAATATCCGGAGATTTTGGCCTAGAACTCCCCTAAGAGCATCAACAAGTAGCTGTAGTTGCAGTATCCTGCAGCCTTCTACATCCAAGCTATAAAGTTGCTGACAGCTGACCAAAATCGCGTCCAGCTCCATGGCAGATAATGCGTTGCGACGTAGCTCTAATGATCGCAGTTTTCCACCAAAACCGCGGACAAAGCTCTCAAGCGCCTTTGTGGTGGTCCGAGAGGCTACCATGTCGTTCATCACGAGCTCGGACAATATTGCCGAAGCGACACTTTGGTTTTGCCCGGTATGCTCCCATGTCATTGCGTTTTCTTTTCGAGTCCAAGCCACTCCAAATCCTGGAACCACAACGCAAAGCCAGCCATGTTTGCCTGGAAGACTGGCCATCACTTCCCACTGTTTGAAATTGTCAGCTTCAAGACTAAGTGCCTTGACCTCGTTCTCGATGTTGACAAGTCGCGCAGATGCTTCAGTTGGGGATGAGTAGAGATCAGTATTGCTGGACAAAAGACAACGAGCTGTCGTATTTCGACAAGAAACTGCTTGAGGTGTTGTATCGTCAATCCACTGCAAGACGGTTGCTTGAGGGTCACGAAGACTTTCGTGCCACGCTTCGCTGTCCATGGGGAACATGGGGTTGCCTGACAAATCCAGTAGTCGAAGCCCTGACCGTCCACCACAAAACACCATGGGACGAAGCCCAATTGCTAGCCACTGCCAACAAATCTTGCGGTCAGCAGGGTCTACCAATGAAAATGTGCATGCCAGAGAGAGCTCCTCAAGTGTTATGCTTTCACATCTTAAGGCCGAGCAAATACAACCGACATGGTGGTAGCTCAAGGAGTTATTTGCCAGCGACAACCGCTTTAGTGATGTCTTGCAACGTCTATCGACACCGACCGCCGCACTCACAAACGCTCGAAAGGCCGCCCAATTTGTTATTGTGAGTGACCGACTCAAGGCGTTTTCCAACACGAGTTCGTCCAGTGGCAAACCACCCCATTGCTCTCTTTGTCGTCTGCACTCGTCCAACAACCGCGCCAAAGCCATCAGCTCGTCACTCTGCATTGGATTCTCGCTCAAATTCAAAGACGTTATGCAAAATCTTGCCGCGGAGTCATTCCTTCTTAGTCCAGACACCAGCACCGTCTTGAGCCTTGTGATCGAATCTGCCGTTAGTCGGCACCTGACGAGCTTTAGAGCCACTGGAACCAGTCGACAGTACGAAATTGCCTCTCTGTCTAGCTTGACACCTGACAATTGCGGATGATGGATTGGCTGCATTTCTCGTGATTGTGCAAAGAACTCCGTCAGCGTCTCCAGCAGCTCCGTCGTGAGCGGACAACGCGAGAAATCCAGCACAAGTCTTGGGAACTGCTCGTCTTGAAGCTGCATATGATGTTTACGTGTATCAAAGCCTTTAGCCATAAGATCTGAGGCTAGGACTTGCTCCCAAAAGGCTTGTTTAACCAGTGGATAGCGCTGCAGCATGTGCGAGTAGCTTTCCATTGTAACCAGAGCTTGAAGCCCTTGCAGCACGGAGGATGGCGCAATATGACGAAAGTTTGCTACGAGAGAAACTGACGAAGAATTGCGCTCTGCAGCACTGTCATTGCTAGGCAATAGACTCAGTAGTCCACGCATTGTAGCAGAAATGCCATCGTCGAGAGGTTGTTTAGCCATCGGAATTGTTTTTTGACTTGAAGCTGATTGCGCAACATAGCAACGAAATGAGCACCCTTAGCTTTAGATGAAGGCTCTTTAGTTGCCTTTCATTATGTTGAGGGCAATGAAAGGCAACTGAAGAGACTTCAACATCAGGTACAAGTTTGTAGCAAGATGCAACAAGTTAATGTAAATCGACTTGACATCGTTTGAATATGAAGGAAATAAGTGACAAGAACAATGTTAGGCTTGTATTCACCCAGATATAACTGCGTCATCGCGTCTCCGTCAGTTCAAATACACATGCACGTGGAAGATATCGATTGAGCGCGACAAGTTCTCGTCATAGTTCCATTTTTCCACTTGGGGAGCATTCTCCCTTATCCAATTGCATACAAACTCCTCAATCTCTACGTGTTTCATTTCATGACGACTCCAGAGCGTCCAGTGGTCAATTCCTTTTGGCGTATCGTATGGAAACATGTTTGGCTCCAGAACGGTCTCTTTATGGTGCAAAGTCGTAGCTAGAATAAGTTCTTCTCTAGATGCAAACATTTGGTCTACCATTTCCATATGAGCCCATTTACGCTTAAGACACTCATCTGTACGACCCCAATATTCCACGATCAAAGTCCTCTTTATTTTACCATTGACTCTGTCCTGACAACATTTCTCTTCTTGATAACATGAATCTTCGTGGTACCGCATTGTTGCTATACTATCTGTCTCTTGTGATGAGCTACAAGACACAAGATTTGTTGTTTCTTCCACTTTACCCACTCGTAGCATTGTATATGTGACTTTCTCTACCTTGTGTCTGGTAGTGTGCAAAATGCGGAATGAGACTGAAACTTCAACTTCAATTTACCTGACCATCACTCTGCCACTTCAACATAAAGTCTATTGACATTTATTTTGGCCTTTGTTCTTCACTTCAGCAGCTCATGACTCATTCTAGGCTTTATGCCCAAGTATGAACCTCTCTAGATCTCCTTATCCTCATCAATTTTAAGTGTAGCAACTGCGAGATAATCCTTTACGGCCTTTAGAAACATAGCCATTTTGTCCAGATCCTTTACGCCAGGAGACCCCTTTACTTCCACGCCACTGCTTACGTCAACGCCCACAGGGTGACCAACTGATAAAGCCTTCACCACATTCTCGGGAGTAAGACCACCAGCCATGAGGCATGGAATGCGTGCGTGCATGAAAATAGCCGCAATGTTCCAGTCAAACGCCACTCCAGTGCCCCCCTGTTGGCCTTTCATCGTGGTATCGAGCAGAATGAAGTTAGCAACACCCTTCTGGACCTGTTGAAGAATCGCCTCAGCATCGACGCCATCACTTAGCGTAGTGTCTGGCAAGTGTAACGCACGAATAGTTGGGTACTTAATGTCCTTGCAGATCTCAAAGCCTTCGTCACCGTGAAGCTGTACGAGATCCAGTCCGATCTCACTGGCAGCCGCGTTCATGGCAGCAGCTGTCGCGTTCGCAAACACGCCCACCACAAGAGGTGCACGGGAACAAGCCTCACGCAGGGCCAGAACATTCCTATGGAACCAGTCATTTTTCCCATTGAGGTATACTTCTAAGATGTCTGGGAGGATAGGGCCCGTGCGTTCACCGTACTCACGCACGGCCTTAGCAATAGCCTTCGCTTGCTCTACCTGAACATGTCGAGGCGAGTGTTCCACCATGATAATGCCAATCATGTTAGCACCATTACGCAAGGCAGCCAGTGCATACTCGACGGTTGTGACACCGCACACCTTCGCAAGCGGTGGAAGAAGAGGCAGGTCCCCTAACTCACTACGGGGCATCACATTCTGCAAGAGGTCTTTGACCGTCGCGGCAATCTCACCGCTCTTCATTAGATACTCGCCAATCAAGATGCCACGGGCACCGCATTTCTTGTACTTGACTACATCAGCGTGTGAGCGAATACCACTGAGAGCAAAGAGCGTGACACCCTCGCGTCCAAGCGATATCCCTCGTTCACGAACAGCGTCTGCAACTCGAGCAGTCGTGTTCATATCCACCTTAAACGTGCGAAGATTGCGATTGTTCACGCCAATCAACTTGGCTTTAACGGCTAGAGCAATGTCTAGCTCCTGGACGCTGTTCACCTCAACCAATGCGCACATACCCAGGTTGTGCGTCGCCTGTACGTCATACCAACGTTAGCTCTCTTTTCTCACTCAATAACCTCCAACACCTTCAATATATCCATATACTTACGCTAATGAGCTCATTGAGCTGCTCCTTCGACAGTAGAGCCACAATAAGCAGCACGCAGTCCGCACCGTATGCACGAGCTTCCAGCAACTGATACACGTCAATAATAAAGTCTTTGCGCAGGATAGCGGGACGTTGTTTCATGCCTTCCACGACTTCTCTGGCCACCATCATGTCCTCTAGCGAACCCTTGAACCACTTGGGTTCTGTCAGCACAGAAATCATACTCGCACCCGCATCAGCATATGCTTTAACTTGGTCTGTGACAGAGCATACATATCACATTAGCAGCCAGCTTTCTCATTGTTGCGTTACACTAGTATCATTCTCCACACACCACGAAGATTCAGTTTAGTAGCAATATCTCCCTTGCTAGGACTCGCGCGCTTGAACTCAGCTGCCAGTGCAATATTCAGCCAGCCCTCTTTCTGTAATATAAAAATCCAGTAGCATAGCACCACAACAGTAATACAGTATCGAGTTTGTAATCAGTACGAGACAGCAGCTACTCCCTTTATGCCAAATTGACGCACCGCAGGCGCATTGACACGGTCAAGCACGGGTAAAGATGGGCCATACATACTCTCCGTGTTTTCAATCTTCTGCATCAGCTGCTCAGTCGACACGATCTGCTTGGCAGCCACGACATCTAGACGGCGCTGGGCCGCAATCTCCTCAAGGATGTTGCCCATGTTCGACCAGACGTGTAATATATAGATTTAGAATGTGAGATTTGTCACGTCTATCCGAAGTAATTTACGTTATCCAGTATGCAAAATAAATCTGTACCAAAAACATGAGACCATTATTTTGTCTCAAAATGGTGATTTTCCGTTAAGTAGTCGCTAAGTATAGATAAACAAACTCACAACTTTAACATGGGTCCATTACAGACTCTTAGATAGATGTTGCTCTATTATAATGCAGCATTGGTCTTGTTACCTTTCAAATGTTCATTCTTGCGGTGAGCTCGCTGTTGCCATTTTTTCCTCTTCTGGGTTGTCTTTCCTGCAATGTCACCGTCACCTTCGCCACGTGAAGCCAATGGAGATGCTACAACGTCTTTGTGACGCCCATCAAATCGCTTAATCTCTCTTTTCTTGTCGCTATTACGAGGCTCCTTTTTGCCTGTTGCATTCGTACTGCGTCTCGTAGTAGGCTTGAGTTTGCTCATTACGTGAGCAGGCTGTGAACTTTCGTGATACTGTTGCTGCTTCATACGACGGCCATTCCGTTTTGAAATAGCAGTGGAAGAATCTCCATTTAACGTCACACGAAGAACATGTTGACCAATGTTTCGTTGAGCCTTGTATTTGAGTCGAAGCTCACCTCTATCGCCTGCACCTGCATCTTTGTCATTGTCGCCTTCGTTGATATCTTCTGGTGGACACTCGCTCATCGTATGCTCGGGCGACAGACACTTTTCGCACGGTGGTGTAGCAAATAAAGACTGATGATGAAGCCATACGCGACCTGCGCGACCATCTGACGCCTTCCAATCGATTCGAGTTTTCAACGACAAAACACGCGGACAATTTCGTGCCTGCGTCAACAGTTCAACTTCCCACAGCTTGTTCTTATTTCCAGCACCACCAGTCACAGACTCAAGAGTTGTCGCTTCCACGACTTTGCCAACCTGGAATGAGTTCCGAAACCATTTGAAAAACAGACCAATTGTCTCCTTTGTCAACTCTTCGTCAGCGCTTCGCAACAACAACATGTACGATCGCGTCATCTTGCCTGCTCGTAGCTGACTTGGTATGCTTTGCACCTTCTTTCCTGGCGTTATGTTTCCGTTCATTTGCTTTGTCTTGTCCAATTTACCAGCGGGTTTCTCGACAGCACAAATCATGTCGGAAAAGCTCTTACCTTGAATTAGCATTTTGTGCGCGCGACGAAACTCGTGAATGATTCTTTCTTGCCCCTTCACTTGTAGAACACAACCTAGATCGCGCTCAGTCTCTAAAGGGTCCTGAATGCTCATACGCCACGTCTTGGCCCTGCGACTACCCCATAGCTCAAGTTTTTGTACAGGTGTCTCGGGTGATTGTACAGCCACGACACGTTTTGCATAATCAAACTGCGTAGCGTAAAACTCAAAAAATCCAGCCAACAGAGTTGTCAACGACATATCTGTTGAGTCGCTAGCCGATGTACGCTGATGGTAAGCTTGAGCGAGACCACGATCTTCGCAAAAGGCGATGTTGATGTCGTTGTAGTAGACTGGTTGAACGTGCGCAAACTTCAAAAGTGCAGGATTTTGAAGATTTGGAAGCACTTGAACCACCTGCAGGTAGAATATGCTTAGCAGCACAAAAGTATAGGAACTAAGGAATCCTATCGAGGCATCACTGATTCCGCGTTGCTTCGCCCAGTGCTTTACAGCGAGTCCCAAAGCGCGTGCACGATTGTCAAATGATGCGTAAGCTCGCAAAAGGGGTGTGTTGCGTGTAGCCAACACATTCTCAAAGCACAAGTCACACTCATACGCACAATCGCTACGCGTGTACAAAAAACGGATAATAGGGACTCGGGCACCAGCTATCACTTGGCGTACTTCGCATTTAGCAGCGCGCTGCAAAATAACACGAAGGAGATAGAGATCACCGCTCCGACATCTGCTAGCAGCAATAGTCGCTTTTAGTTGTGCAGACTTACCATTCGAATTGGCAATATTGAGAGACTCTTCAACTCCAAGCAACCCCGTGAGCTCAGCAACGATAGCGTTGCGCAGCAGCCGCATCTGAGTGTAGAAATACTCCAGATGGCGGCGCTGCTTCGTCAACTTATCACTCATCTTGTCAGATCGATCCAGTACATTAAGTGCCTGCACGATCTTTTCAATGCTTGATTGCACCTGTGCACGTTGATCTCGCAGCTGCTCAGCAACTCCAGAATCTGTGCTTGGTTTGAGCCAATCTTTACCAGACTTTCCGTCAATCAAGCGCCGAAGCTGGCGTCTCCCCACAACTTCTTTTGGTGAGTCTGCATCCATTCCGGTAGTGCGGCCATTAGGTAAGAGGCACATATCTAAGTCCGAGGTCCGCGAGCCATAGCAAGTCAATGAACTACCATATAGAATCACCTCACAATGCCGCCACTTGGTCACTTCCCGTTTAAGAACAGTCTGAATATCACGTGCGACACGCAACCGCCGCTCTTCCTCATCTGGATCAATACTCGAGAGTTCCACAAGATGCTGCAGCTCTTGGGACCATATCTCTCTTGCCTCAGACGGTGTCGCTGTCACGGAAGCTTCTGCCATTGCCTCTGTTTGCGCCGACTCCGTCAAAAACGTCAAAAACGACTCTATCTGTTTACAGGCTGATTCTTCAGCATCTCTTGACTTTTTCTTGCGCAATCGCAAATTCTTCTCGCGTTTCTTGATCTTATGTGCTGTAGCTTCATCGACATTTCCCACAACCTCGACACGAACCTCCAGTAGGCTAGCTCCCATCGCTTCAAATTCCTCCACCTTTTCTTCCTCTTTCAAGATCTCGACCCAGCGTCTCAGCAACGACTCGTGGTCACTCGTGGCACGACTTAGTATCAGCTCCGTAGCATTTTCTACCACTTCCGCCACCACGATCCTCTCCAAGTCCCCTTCCAAATTTGTGTTGTTCTTCTGTGCTGCTGTTTGCTGCCTCAATAGCTCCAGCCTTGATACTCTCAGTACGCCTCCCACCTGCTCTACGATTTCCTCCACAGGCCACAGAGGCTCATCGCTACTGTCATCCTCGTGCTCTTTATCCCCTGTCTCTTCATTCTCTTCGTCAACCTCCTTCTTCGAGCTCATAGCGAGCTCATGACGCAGTTTACGCTGGATTTTAAACAGCGCAAATATCCGCTTAATAGCGTCTGCAAAATGGGGCGTCCTAGCGTCTCCCACGCCATTACAGCGACCCAAAAACCACTGAGCAAACAGCAAATCTCCCTCTCCCGCCTTGTACCACAATGCGTCACGATAGTCGCCTATACCACCTTCAATGGCGGCATAGTTCGCGTCGCTGGCTGGGAACTTGGATCCGGTTGGCTTCATGCGAGCATTGCGCGGATTCTGCTGCTTGTGATGAGACTTAGATGAGAGCTGTGTAGTTGTGCCTTGTACTCCATGCTTCCTTTGATACGCAGTGCGAGGGTGCGGGCGATGTCGTGGAGAAGCTGGAGCGGGATCCGACACGGACGCGATCATGATGCTAAGGGGAAGTGCGGACCGCCAAGCTCATCGATTGGATAGAATAAACGTCTTGTTTTGACCAATAAGAAAAAACAACGTTTTAACTTACTCGAATCTGATAACTTACATCTTGATGTCAGTAAAGTGAAACCAAAATGTTATTCGAAAAAGTGACCAATGATCCTCTTTTAACTTGTGTTCTAATCATGAAGGGAATCATGTTTTGAAAACATATGGCGACGCCAGTCGAAACATCCAGAATCACAGCTGATCCTGCTGATGACATGGGTTGATGATGACGTTAAGGCTTTTTCACACACGAGGGTGAGTTTTTTTAATACGAGTGTGCCAATCCCAGTGCACAGTCAACCTAAGAATCACCCACCCTATAGCAAGGCGAAAGACAACAAGAAGAACGATATCAATAGCATAATTCCTCATGTATAGTAACTTCATGTATACTGTAGTTTCTATCAAACTTTGATTGTTGACGTAGCAAGTAGATTTATTCTATGTCATATAAAACGGTGTCGAGCAATTTTTTTCTATCTTACCTTCAATATCGATACAATTAACATACATATTCAGCTCTTTTTTTACTGGATTTGTATGGGTTCAGCTCGCACTTAATCGAAACGACAGTTGCGTCTTCTGTCCCCTTTTTAGCGTTTCGTCGCATTTTACACCAATGAGAGGTCAAAAGAAGAAGCAACGGCCATTCACATAGTCAAGCAAGCAAACTGCGACTTGAGCTCCACGACCGGTAGTACTAGCACTGGCGTCCATCGAGCGATATCACCGAGCATTTAGGTGCATCGGCTTCTCTGGTCCAAGAACCGTTTCTTTATCACTAAATTACATACCTTCCTATTGTACTATGCTCGCTACGAAGCGTCCACGTCGTGCTGCCTCGGCCGAAGACTCGCTCGACCCACGTGTTATGACCGAGAGACAACAACTGGCTTTCCTATTGCGTGCTACGGCACCATCCGACTCTTCTGAGAGCTGCTCCAGTGGCTGTAGTTCTTCCAGTGATGATGATGATGAGGAGGAAGACAAACTACCACGTCGACGACTTCCAGTGAAACGTAACAAGACGCACGATACTCGTACGATTGGAAGAATTCATTGACACTTGTTTCTTGTGTTTGTTTGGCTGTTTTACTAGGACATGAATTGATTTTATTATGGACTGGTTGTATGTATTTGTATTGTTGTTGCTACAGGAACGAGTAACACCATGGGGAAAACGCCATTGGACGCTCCTCCTGTGATTTATTGTGGTCGTGGTCGACCGCCGAAGAATTCAATTAAGTTGCCAAGGAATACTCAACACCCCTACGCTCGACCCGTGAGGATATCGCCAAGGAGTCATAATACACGGACTACGGACAATGCCATGGCTGTTACCGTAGCTGCAAGTTTAAGGGCCAAGAAGCTTTCGGCTGGTCGAACAGTAAAAGCAGAGAGGAAAGAGAGAGCTATTTCTGTAAAGCACGAGAAAACTAGTCCGTCGAGTGCTAGTGATATGGCTATGATGGACAATGCGGCCGGAGCACCATTTTGTGCGCTGTGTTGTGACCTGGAGCCGTTCTGCGATGCACCGCTGTTCCTGTGTCCGGCATGCGATCAGAAGTACCCGACGCAGCAAACGCTCGGTCGTGTTTGTATGACATAGCAGCGAAATGGAGCGAGAGAGAGGGGAGAGAAGAGAAGAAATGGAAGTCAACAGCAGCGAGTACTGAAAATGCAACACTGGGACGGCGTCAAGGTCTTTGGCTGGAACGATTTACCTGACAGAATGAGAGGATGGCACGTCGACAATGGAAGAGCACGAGTAAACTGTGTATTCTTGTCTATAGGTGTCTGTGTGGATTTGATATGATTAAATGGATGCCTGTAAATCGTTTGACGCTGTCGTCTTCCTGCCAGTTGCTACTCTGTTATCGAACTTTGTAGAATGCTGATTGCCAGCTCGTCCATTTTTGGCAGAGACTGCATTGTTTTGAGGGCAGAGCTGCTGCATCATATATACATATATATACGATAGCGACCTATCTCATGTCATGATCACCAAGTACGTCAGCAGGAGCAGGATAAGCACCAGCACGATAATAACGATAAAGCTTTTCATGCCGCCTGATTGTTTGATAAGCTCCTGTGTCTGTTTTGTCACAATTTCCAGTGCCTGTTTTGCATTGTCCGTGTCGTCGCTCAGATCATCCAGCATTCTGCACGCAGGCAGTAGCATTAATGACCGATTTAGAACCTAAAGGACCAAAGCAAATACTCGCCAATACAAAAGTTTGCTCACTTGTTCTGCGTCTCGAGCTCCGTGCTAATGTTCAAACTTATATCTCCTAATCGCTTTACAGCAGTATGCAGATCGTCCAGGTTCTCGTCCTGCCTCTGACGTTCAATCTGTTGTGCGCGATGCTGGTCGGCCACGTAGTTGTCATCATGATCATGGGGCTGCCATTACAGAGATACCAGATTTTCCAGTGAGTACAGACACGAACGTACAAAACAGACAGTAAAATATTAGTTTATGCTTACCTCAGTGCCCAATTTAGCGTAAGATGGCGGCCTTCCTTGCGGGAACGACGGCGCCATTCTCAACCGACTTACGCTCACTGACTGACTTGACGCTTCCCAAGGACTGAGACTAAAAATCCAGCCCAATGATTGGCTTATAACTACACTCACATAGACGCAACAATTCTATTATTAGAGGAGATGGTCAAGTAGATCAAGCGACGCACGAATAGGAAGCACTAATGATATAAAGGCTGTAACAACAATGGCCTGTTGCTATTGTTTTTCTTATGCTTCTCGTTCATCGTAAGCTATTCATCTGCTGCACTCCATCTCCTCCATCCACAATAAAAACACACACATTGAAAAATCAACTGGAAGCGTCTTTAATGCTCATTTCGTTTGCAGTCATGCTGAGTTCCACGCCCATCCTTCGCATGTCGCATGTCGCTTGGAATTTTGTGTTCACTGATTGCACTGTCCTGTAAGACGCAAAAAAGTTCTTCCTCCACCTTCTCGAGCGCTTCAGATCACGCAGGCACGTCGACCAAGCGCCTGCTGCGTCGGGTACTTTCGGTCACATGAGGGACATAGGAACAGCACGTTCGAGTACGACGCCTCGTGCGCTGTATCATAGTCACAACATAGGGCACATTGCGGTGTTTTGTTTCTAAGAGACCGCGCAGCATTCAACTGTGATACATCATCCGAGCTCACAGGACTAGGCTTATTTTCAACCTTTTTATCATCCATTGCCTTGTGCTTTTTCTTCTCTGCCTTCACTCGTAATTTCGTGTTTCCACCATTTAGTCTCTTCTTGTTCTTTAACGGACGGCCGCGGCCTCGATGGATCGACGTAGCAGTCGCTTCATGTTTCTCTCCAGGTATCCATTTAGACTTCTTCACATGGCGCAACGACATTCCAGTCTCATCCTCTGAGCTTTCATCACTTGACCGCGACGTTTTCAATCCTTCATGAGCTGTTGTTCGCAATAGAAATGCCATCTGCTGACGCTCCGTCATGAGACTTGGGTCCATCTGCAAAACATGGTCTTCGTCTTCGTCTAGCGTCCAATGCTCGGATCCTCGATGTGCACGTTGCCTCTTCCTAGTCATTATTCTGCCTCTCATGCTCTCACTGTGTCTCATGCCTCGTGGCTCCACCAAATTTCCTGTAAACTCCTGAGGCATTCACGCCAACTTTCTTACTTTTTTGTGTCTTGTTTGCTCGTTGTCCTGCAAGACTTTATTATTAAACTAAAAGACGCTTCTACTATACCACATGTCGCAAGTTTTTTCAGCCAATAAACATCATGATTGCCTCTTCAACTACAACTTGCCAGAGATTCATCACGTTGACTTTATTAGCCAGCCCTTGGACCTATCTATCACCTGTTCAAACAGCGTTTCTGTCTCTCTTGACTCACTGTCACTTACTTGTACGAGATATACACGAGCTTCTTGTGCGTCTTTATTGCGCAATAATGCTGTACTCTATTGTCTATGAATGGCGTGCTAGAGTTGCGATTTAGTCTGTTCAACTCAGCAGTAGCTGACCAGACCTTGAGACGTTGTAACTGCTTGTTATGATCAAACCAAAGGCTTTTGATGCAATGACGTTGTATTGCGAGCAAACATACATTGGTATTCGTACGAGATTAGAAGAACTGCTGCAGCAGCTTGCAACGATGTAATACGCTCTGTCAATACAGTGAAGGTACTGTTAAAAAAACGGCGAATGTTGCTACTAATGCTTCCTGCTTTGTAGCACCTAGTTTCTTTTCAATTGCATGCTTTTTTTCGATCTGACAGTCTTTATCTTCTTACAATTGCAAGAAATGATCTTGTCCAGCTTCCATAGACAAAAAACTGAGCACCATGCGTAGCAATAGGGAACGTGATCTCTTCGCCAAATGGTAATTTCTGTTGTACTAACCGGCGTTAATGTGGTTGTTTCAGATGCTCTTGTAAGATGCAATGGATCGGTTTGATGTTTCAATAGTACTTTACTACACTATTGACGGTCAATGTTAAGTCCTTGTTTTGCGTAGGTGCAATGAGAGCGCAATTACACTTGAGATTCTTGCAGAACTATTCAACATCAGCTGTTTAGGCGTTCACTTTGGTCTGGCCACAAGTAAAGTAAACCAGTAAGTAACACCAGTGCATAATCACCCATTGTGGCGGAAAACCAATTGTTCATATGCTCGTGCATGTTTTCAGTTCATTGCGCCTTTAACTTACGAGCTTCAAGACCTTGCGTTTGCCCTACTTTGCTCAACAGCGTGCACCAAAAACGACTTGCCCCTTCCGCATCATTTCTATTGGGATCAAGGCTTACTCTGTTACCTATCAATAAAGCCGCGCAGCAAAGTGAATAACGTAATTACAGATAAAGGCTCTGTCTTGTTTACGCAGCACAAGACGCACTGTAGGGGACTGGAAGCTCTTGCCAACTGTACAATATTTACACGACAATATCACTTGTATCACATAACTGTTATCTTAACTGTTAAAAATACGTGTGTAGAGTTGATCATGCATCGCCTGCGCAAGATCCAGTACCGGCGCCGACGAATAAGACTCTTCCACCTCTCGATTTTTCTTGGCCAGAAATACCTTTTCCAGCAGTGATGTTGTCTCAAACTGCAGCTTTGAAGCTTCTAATGGACCCACGAGGTTAAGCCTCGTAGCGGCACTTAATACATCGCGAGTCGTCACGAAGAGATACATGCGTTGCGTAGACTCTACTTCTACGCCCAGCAATGCGCACACCACGCCAAAAAGAACAGCGTGGTGAACGCCGCCTTTGTCTCGCGTTTTAGCCTCTTTTTGAATCGATAGCAAGGTCTGGATGCGTGGATAAGTCGGCGCATACGTCGATAGAGCGAGTCTCAGCAGTGCGGAGCCTTGAGCAAACGAAGCTTTGCGCGCGACATGGTTCGAATAAAGAGCCGTCGCACGACTGTTAAGACTCAGAATTGAGTCGACAAAATCATACTCAGACGTCACTATCTGATGCGAGGAAAAGACGAGCGGCAAGGCAAAGTTGGCGCTTTGATGCAGTGACATCGAAACAAATTCACGTAGAGACGACGCGGTCACAAGACCTTCCTGCATTGCAGCTTCAAGGCCTACAGAGTGCGCAAAACCTCCCGTTGGATATAGCGAGTCTACCATCTGCCATAACGCCCAGTCTCCAGCAAGCGAAGCTGTTTCGGGATTCTTCGTGTCATTGGTCTCGGTACCCATGTGAATGTCAGAATGCGGAAATAGAGTGATGGTCATTTGCTTTTCCGAAGTGGTTGCTTCAATGTGATTGGCTGTAATGTTTAAGTTGAAGTTTGTATTTTTTGTAGCTTGAAGTGATACATTTGTTTTGTCACATGTACCACCACCACTATGCAATGAATTGTGGATGCAAAAAGTACAAGCTCCTTTGCGGCAAACATTATAATCTACCATTTTACTTCACAAAGATGCTACAGACACAAACTGTGCGTAATTATCACCTCAATGACATTTATTTATACGTTTACTTTAGTCAAAAAGTAGTCAATAGCGAAAATTGGTGTTCCACGTAGAGCCTATACTAAGAGATACAATGCAGCATGTTTATCTTAACCTTTGCGTCTATAGTTGCTGTTTATCGAATACACGTGTGCACTATAGTATCAAAAGGAGCCAAAGTGTCCACATCGTACGTTTATATTTGACAAGTCTTCACCTAGTCACATACCTGATGATATCGGTATCGCTTTCAATGCCTTCTTTTCCGGCTTACGACAATGAACTTGACCCGGAAAATCTCTCCTCCTTCTCTATAAACGAACTTCTCTCGATCAGTTGGTATTCCAAATGGGTTCTCGTGAAGTACAGCAAAGTCATAGAGCCTTGACATCTCAAACACTTCCACCATATACGCAAACAATTCCTCCACGTCCGTCTGCACAAAGATTGGTGTGCCATCCACTAATTGACTTGCCATTTCCTTCACAAATGCTTCGTTCACAAGTCGTCGCTTAATGTGACGCTTCTTCATCCACGGGTCTGGGTGGAAGATGGAAACGCTTGCTACAGGAGCAGGCAGCGACTGCAACAGTCTTTTATGGTGAATGTTCATGTTTGCATGCACAAACGCCAAATTCTTCACTCCTCGACGCTTTGCTTCTCGCTCCGCCTCCTGCAAAACATTGTGACGAATCTCCACGCCTACAAAATTCCGCTCAGTAGCTTGTGACGTCGCTACATCCATGAGATATTTGCCCCGAGCACAACCAATGTCTAGGTGGATAGGTAGCAACGTATTGACAAAGCATTTATCCCATTCTGGAATCTCAACGGGTTGGCGATAAACCATTGAAAGCGGATTTACATGCTGGCGGAACCGTTTAAAGCCTGACGGAGAATTACTAGACAGACATGAACCCGATGCATTAAGACTCTGTGACGTTATCCTTGACACACTAAAGGAACGTAGTAGATATTTATAGCTGCAAATGCGCGTAAAAGACAGCACAGCTCGGCTCTCTATAGACCATCGTGACCGTAGCAGCAACAACGCCATTATATTCACAAGCCAGTCAGCCAATTCGAGTCGTCTCTATGAAGGGTGTTTCTTTCATGAGCACTGATTGGCTGAAATTTACACGCAATATGGCATTGTTAAGGTCAGTAGCATTTCCTTCATCGACAGTACCGAGGTGATGATGGACGAGAACGCGAGCGGCATCATCTGGCAGCGTGAGAACATTGGACGAAACACATTGTCACAATTGGATGGCGGTGTGAATATTTTCAATCACGACTTGGGACTGGCCAGGTCCTTTTACAATGGCTTTGAGATGTGGTGGCTGGCTGGAATGCCCATTTCACTTGTATTCATGCTAACGCTACTGAGCTTCTCACTGGTCTCAGGTTTCAGTGTCCTTGTAAAATCAATGCGATGGCACATTGTACTATATGTGTCGTTTTGGCGACTTGTAGCTTGGGTGAGCCGACCATTGAATGCCGATCATGCTTTGCTGGAGAAGAAGACGATGAGGTCCTTAAGGTTGCAAGATACTGGAGAGACCAAAATTCCTCGTCACATTGCAGTGATTATGGATGGAAATAGACGCTATGGGAAGAACAAATACGGTGAAGGTGTGAGAGGACATTCAGACGGCAGCAAGACACTTGTGAACTTTACCGGTTGGTGCATCGACGCAGGCATTAAGGTGCTGACGGTGTTTGCATTCTCGACAGGTGCATACTATTGTGGTATGCTGGATTGTTTGTAGTGTATGCTGACTTGTGTGTCTATTATATAGAGAACTGGAACCGTGAGCAAGCAGAAGTGGATGCATTGATGAATTTATTCAACCAGTTCATGCATGAGATTGTGCCTGAGGCATTAAAGCGAGATGTCCGCGTTCGTGTGCTGGTGTCAGACGGAAGGAAACTGCCAGCATACATGGTTGAAGCTATTGAAGAGATCGAGACGAATACGCAGCATTGCACTACGTTTAGTCTTAATCTCTGCGTGAGGTAGTATGGTGTCCTGTATTTATCGATCTACTGGCGATGTCGTTGGGCTAACGCTCAATGCTATCTTTTTTGCTGTTTTTCGTCAGCTACGGCGCACGAGATGAGATTGTAGGTGCCTGCAGGAATATCGCTATTGAGGTTGCTAGAGGCGAGATGTCCGTTGACGACATAAATGAGGACCTGCTCAGTCAGCGCATGCTTACAGCGTACGAATTTTCTCGACAGAGTATTGGAGTGGCTAATTTACTTCGCCGCAACTGATATTTTTAATGCACCATTGCACGATTGCCATAGCGGTCAGCCGGATCCGGACATTCTCATTCGCACGTCGGGCGAGCTGCGCATCAGCAACTTTTTGCTGTTCCAGATCGCGTATTCGGAGCTGATTTTTATGGACAAAATGTGGCCAGAGGTTACACGGGATGACGTGCAGGATATTATTCTTGAATTCAATCGCCGCAAACGTCGTTTTGGTAAGTAAGAAAGCAAGAAGATATGTGATTGCTAAAAAAAAGGGTGGATGCAGCGTATCTGCAAATGTATTATACGACTGAAGCCATTTGCAATGAAAATATTTCGATTTGTGACTTTTTGATAAAGTGATTGAATGAACTCCCATATGATACTATCAAAACGAAACACTGTTTTCTGAAGTGGCAATAAGAAAGCACATTGTCACTTACTTACTTAAGAGTCAATATCTATAGCTACTCAAGCATGACAGGCAAGAGCGACGCTGTGCGACGCAGCTACATGAAGAAAAACAAGAGTAAGATGAAAGAAAGTCCAAGTAAAGAGTCTGTAGCAAATAAAGTCATCAAGTCCAAGTCTTCTTTAAAGCCCGAAAGAAGCAAGAACGACGTGGCACCACCTCCAGCCAAACCCGTCGGTGCCATAAAGACCAAGTTCTGTCTTAATTGTCAGAAGGATCTGACACGAAATATTCGCATTACATGTGCCGAGTGTACTGTAAAGCCACCGTTTGAGCTGTGTGTCGAGTGCTTTGCGGTTGGAGTTGAGCTGGGTGAGCACAAGAAGAGCCACAAGTATATGGTCTCGGATTGTCTTGCTTTCCCCATTGTGCACGAGCCTCAGCCTCCAATATGCGAGAGTGTTTATTCTACTCCTGTATGCACTGGTAATAATGCTGCTACTTTCTTAACCGCCATGAACGATGCTGCTAGTACAGTATGGACGGCGGACGAAGAGCTGTTGCTGCTTGAGGGTATCGAAATGTTTGGCATGGGTAACTGGAAAGATATTGCCAATCACGTGGTAACGAAGAGTGACAAGCGGTGTGAACATCATTATTTGACAGCGTACATAGGCTGGGAAGATTTGATGCCCAGGTTTGTTGGTGATACGATTGAAGAGAGCAAGGATGAGCAAGAGAAGGCTGCGGAGCACAAGCTGCACATGACGGACGAGAAGATGACAGTTGAGATGAATATAGCGTCGGATCAGCTTACAAGAGTAATGCCTGGGGAGAGGAATGAGCCCAGTCAATTGGCTGGATACATGCCGTTGCGTGGAGACTTTGATGTGGAGTATGACAATGATGCGGAAGTGATTCTGGCCGATATGGAGTTCTCGGATACGGATCATCCAGCAGAACGCGAGTTGAAGCTAAAGGTTATTCAGATTTACAATCAGAAGTTGGAGAAGCGTCTAGAACGCAAGAAGTTTGTAGTGGAACGTGGATTGCTGGATTATAAATTGCATCAGCATACAGAGCGCAAACGGCCAAAAGAGGAACGTGAGTTGCTGGCACAGGTTCGACCCTTTGCTCGGTTTCAAACCCCGGAAGAGCACGATAAGTTTGTGGAGGGTTTGATCACAGCCATGCGACTCAAGAAACAGATTTTGTTGCTGCAGGAGTACCGCAGAAACGGCGTCCGAACTCTTGCTGAGGCCGAGCTGTACGATGCAGATAAGAAAAAGCGTGAGCTAGACCAGGCGATCCAAAAGCAGCGAGACAGCGCTTCCTATTTATACGAGTCAGGTCGGACAACCTCCGGTCGCGATCGCGCTAACCGGTGGCAGAACCGGGAGCAGGGTGCAAATGGCGAACCAAGCGGTGAAAATTTAAGAACAAGAGGAACAGGTGGTCTCAACTCGATTGCAGCTACTTTTTCAATCGAAGGTACACCAGGTTGTCATTTGCTTACTCCGAAAGAGAAGCAGCTCTGCAGCAAATTGAAATTGCTTCCAAAGGTACGAGCTTACGAGCCATAGCTTGGAGTTTATCGTATGGTTTTTGATCTGTTCATTGTGCTGATGAAGATATCGTGTATATGGTGTATAGCACTATTTGGTGATAAAAGACGCACTGGTTCGTGAATGCTTTCGCTTAGGCTATTTGACAAAAAAGATGGCCAAGGAGACGGTACAAATAGGTGTGTACTTGATCTCTTGTGTGTATTACAGATCATAGCTGAAGGTATGTATGTTTGTATGTCTGACTCAATACTGTGCTCTTGTAAACAACAGATGTGAACAAAACTGGTCAGGTCTACGATTTCTTTGTCAAGTGTGGTTGGGTCAAGTCGGAGAATGCCATTACAACAGGTGCGTGTGTGTTGATTGATTGAATGAATGAATGAATGAATGCTACTACTTTGTTTTTCATGTTGTATGCGGATATTGTTCTTACTCACGACTTTGATTGTTTTCTTAATCTTTTTATAGTTTCACCATCGTTGAAATCAGTAAATACTAAACTTCTGCATAAAGATAAGAAAGAAGTAGAAGAGACTGCGAGACACAAACTAGTTCCAGTCATAGCAACAAAGGAAGGACAGAAGACCACAACACCAACAAAACGTAAGGCCGATGAGATGTAGCCATAACAAACTATAAAACGCAACTTCCTTTATAGGAACAAAAACCACTTTTTTTACTTATTTCATTGCAGTGTTTGACAGAAAGTAAAGAAAGCGTTTTTCTTGCTACATTCTAGATCTTGACTACTGAAATAAGCGACATGTTGAAGACAAATAGTGTGGAAACACAGGAGTGATGGTCGATGAATGTTAAAAAGTAGCTGAATCAGTCGGAGAAACTTGATTGTTGATTGTGATCCTACAATTATTAACGTGACAACAAATAAAATTATTCTGTCAGGTATCGTAATATGTCTCAAAAAAAAAAACTTTTCGTGTCACTAAAATAATAAAACTATCTATGACGTCATATGGCAAGTAGCTTGCTCACTGATTGTAACTCACTCTGTTGTTGATGAGAAATTTAAAAATTTGTCAATTGTTTCTAAATATTTCAGTCAAGTTTTTAGCTAAAACGTAGCATTTAAATTTTAAAAACAAGTAAGAATAAAACTAAAACGCTACCATATAACTACTATCAGTAAAGTAAGGCCGTGCTCAAGAAACGAGGTCGTAAGTTGTTCTTCCTTCCACTTGTACGACGTGATTTGTATCTCCCTCTCCCCCTCTAATGAGCAGTGAAGGTCAATCACCACCAAGAAAACGTGCGCGTCTTCGTGCTGAAGAAGAGACAATTTCCGTGTCTGTATTACCGCCCGTGGATACTACTCCAGTCGCTTTTTCTACTCGTATGTCTCGAGCTTCCAATACATTAATTCCGATTGGTCAACCACCACTTGAAGACAACGAAGAAGAAGAAGGCACGAGCAACAAGAAGATCATCATTCTGGTCTTACCATGTCGTCCTTTCTGTTACTTGCTCGAGGTCGTCTTGATGCCTTAACAGCCTCTTCTTCTTCGTCCTCATCCATTGTCTCACCACTAACTGATCCAACATCAGCAGAAGCTCTATCAGCTGCATCAGGTGCATTAGAAGCACTTAGTACGAGTGTTTTACCCGAGGTAATTATGGATGAACCCATGCCTTTGGCAGTAGCTGTAGCAGCTGAAGAATCTACAACGGACGATGAAGAGCTACAACAACTTTCAATGGTGAAATCCGACCCTTCTAGTGTCATGATGTATACATCTGATGGCGCAGTAGCTGTCGAATTAGAATATGAAGATGTTGTGACGTTTTTGTTTAATATGGCACGAGAACAAAAGACACTGGAACTTCATAAAGGAATGCGCACAGTGTGTAAAGCAAGAAATGCAAATGAGCTCTTACCGAGACTCTTGACAGCTGAAGACGAGACAGGATTAACGCTATTGATGATTGCAGTACGTGGCAACGATCAATTGTTTTGTCGTATGCTATTGGATGCTGGAGCTGATGTCAATTATAAGACTGTACGTAGCTACTGGCACTTGATCTTTTTACATGTTAGGTATGAAAAATTTTGACTTCTTTTCTATGTCTTGTGTCTCTCCCGCACAGGAAAAGCGCACCTATGCATTGCTGCTTGCGGCGCAAAAGGGCTGGGAAGATATTACAACATTTCTGCTTGAGTGTGGTGCCAACGAAGAATCAAAGAACATGGCACTCATCCCTGCTGCTCACTTTGGTCATTTACCCGTTGTTAAAATGCTCTTGGAGACAGGAGGGAACCAAAACTATGCCAACAAGAAGGGTACTACTCCATTGATGCGCGCAGCGCAAGAAGGACGTGCTGAGGTGGTCAAATTCCTGATCAAGAAAGGCGCTGACACGTGTGCTGCCAATAATGAAGGTATGACGGCTCTCATGTTGGCAGCGCAACGTGGACACGCGAGTATTGCCACGATGCTCATGAAGTCGGGATCGAATGTAAATAAGCAGACTCGGCAAGGCAGTACGGCGCTATTGCTAGCTGCCAAGCGGGGACATACTGCTGCTGTCGAAGCACTGATGACAGCTGGTGCAGATATCTTTCTCAAAGACGACCGGGACAAGACGGCAGCCGAGACAGCTCAGCGTCGAGGACACGTGGACTTGTTTTTAAAGATTTCAGTGCAGAACCAGCTCCGGTTGATGCGTGAGGACCTCAGACGGCAGAGGTGCTACATGCTGATGCGGTTATCGACGTTGTATGTTCTATCGCGTGCGCAGCTGACACCGGCGTGCAAGAACCAAAAGCGGCAGCAATACAACACGTTGATGGACCGTACACTGCGTTTACCCAAGCCGCTATTGCAGAACATTGCTCTCTTTTTGCCACTCTGCCGGATGTGGGACCGTCAGCTCCGTTATCTAATCTATGAGGCGGCGCCGCAGCCCAATCGCGTGGCGCAACAAGGACTTCGCATCCTGGACGAGGTATTGCTAAGCGTCAGTCTTGAAGTACGACCAAGTCTGCATCGAATTAAACAGGAATGCGGCGGGCCGCTGCACGTGACTGGCCAGCTAGGGCTGCTGCGCGACAGCTCCGAGTACCGTGGACTGTTTACGACGGAGTCGCGGACACCCGTGCCTCCGCGCATGGTGCATCAGCTGCGACGCATGGCCGACATTCAAGGTGCCCTGTGTACATATGCTGCTGGGTCGGCAATCCAGTTTGGCGTGGAAGTTGCACAGGACGTGGTCGCGTTACTTACGGATCTCTTGAATTGGGATACTGCTCGAAGGCAAGCTGAGCTGTTGAATTGAAGACAGTGAGGGAATTAATCTACTAGGTATAAGAGTAAGAGAGTAAGGACGTAATTTAGATGACAGGCTAGACAGGAAGGTGATTCAATGCTGCTGCACGTTGCAGTCAACTCAATATTGGTGTTTTACGTCGTACGATGGCCACGAATGAATGAACGAACGCCTTGTCGATGAATATTTGAAGGCAAACTTTGACGTTGTCACCTGACATCACTAGTATAGCTACTAACTGGCAGATAGATGAAAATGGAGTTCTTGGTGCACAATATCTCGCACTCGGACCTAGTAGTAGAGCTCTCGTGGCTACGAGCAAAGAATGGTGACAGCACTAGCAGCAGAAATGGCCCATCAGTACCGACGGCTCATGAGTCTGTAGCCAGCGTAAATGTAAACGGTGTCTCTGTGCCGCTGTCAATTTTAGGCCGACCAAAGTTTAGTCTCTTCCAACAGACAAGTCAACAGATCCTGGAACGTGTGCAGCAACTCCAACATCCTAAGCATGAGAAGACACACGTGGCTGCAGTCTTGACTGTCCCTGAGTTACCGCCGTCACTATTGCATCCAAGTCTTCTGGACATTCAAGGTGAGCGCTGGAAAGTGCAGTGTCAAGACACACAGTCGCCCATTGGCTTTAACTTGGTAGATGCTCCAATAATCATCAGTAATGAAGAAGTACTGCGAGATTTTCAATTGCGCGGTGAGAGAGAGACCATGAGACTTGTGGAGCAACATTGGGATCAAGTGGGTATTACAGCCGTGTACTTTCCTTTAGTGGCACTGCTGTTGCCCAAGTGGATGCAAGTGTTGAAAGAATTTCAGTCTCAAAACAGTCGACAACTTGTATATCTCATTAGTGGAGCCGGCATTCCACGCAATATGGCGCATTCGCGCAATGATAACTCGACAGAGATGACGGCACAGCTCATTACGCTCTTTATACACCAGTATTACCCCCACATGACTGCAATTCAAGTGCATTCAGGGTCAAATATCTTTCGCTTTGACGACAATGTGCAATTCATGACACGAGAGCTGAGACCATTACTAGAGGCACAGCGAGAGACGCTCGTGGACCGATGTGGTGAGGCATGGAAGGCGCATTTTCATGTTACAATTGCGTATGCCGATGGACCTCCAGCGCGACTGAGTGCGTTGAATGCTTCCCTACGTATTTACAAACCGTCATACCTGCATATTTGGCAACTCAAGACGTTTTGGCATGAACGCAAACTGTCGATTGTAGACGTGGACTTTCATTCATTTGAGAAAATCGAGGCATCGCCGTTGGTGGCGCCAAGCAAGGCTGATGCCATGACGCAGATGATAGTGCATGAGATGAGAGCGTTTCGTGACCAGTTCCTCTCAGCTGAGGGTAAAGGCGAGGTGGCCAGCTTCTGGTTACGCAAGTCGCGCAAGCCCGTACTTGCCGTGCTTCTTATTGAAAAACCAGCTACGGAAGCAGGAGAGCGTCCTAAAATTGTGGTACAGCGAGGAATGAATTGCGAGGTGTCCATGCCGACTGGATCGTTGTGTGCAGAGCGCAATGCCATTGGCAGCGCGCTGGCGAACGATCCGACGATAACTCGTCGCGCCATAAAGATGATTGCCGTGCTGGGCTTAAACCTCCCCGCGGATGGTATTGACACCGTTGCCAGCAGTTTTGTGCCGGCGGAAAACACCGAGCGAGATGATTGTACACTGCAAGATAATGGCAAGAAGATGAAGCGATCTCAAGTGCAGTTTAGCGCTGCATTAGACACAGCAACTTCAAGCTCAAGTGAGTCTGGCTCAACTGCAGATCTTATCAAGTCTGTAGGTCCAGAGCTACCTGTCCGTCCGATTTGTCCTGCTACCGTCCAGTGCTCATCAGAGAAAGCATCGATCCTGACTGCCGAAACTGTGCAGCGTAGCGCCAATGATACAGTCCGAGGACTTGAAGAACGCAGCCACGAGCAATTGAATGCCAACCTGGACTCTTCAAGAAAACCCAAGCGGCCACGCACGTTCTCACTCGACGATGTAGCCGTGGAAGAGATGATGCGTCGGTGCGCACCACCTGATCGGAATCCACTGGCACCATGCGGAGCCTGCAAGGAGTGGCTGGTAAAAATTGCTGAAGCCAATCCATCGTTCCGCGTGGTTACATTCGAGAACTCACGATGTCGCAATGTCTACATCAACCAGATCAGTTGAGCTTGCGTAGCTTCTAAGACAGTAGGTATCTTCACTAAACCGAAGCGCTAAGCTCTACTAATAACAAGAATCAATAACGAAACCCAATGATCGATCCTTTCATTTGTACAAGCATTTTCCACTTCTTCTTGCTGCTCTATTCAATGCAGTACTTACTACCATAGCATCACGCCTTGACGTCGGTATGTAGCTCAAACACAACCTTAGCAGTCCGTATTGGCTGCCTAAAGTATCAAATACATTCAAACCACTGACTCTAGAACTCTTTACGTCTTGCTCGTCAAGCCAGCAATCGTTCTAAAGTGTAGATAACAACTTGCATGCAAGTCGATTGTCTGTCCTTCTTCATGTCGAGATATTCCACACCATGACGCTTTTGATTCCGTACATTTCAAGCTCAATACACTACTTTCTCTCGCAACACAAACACGATCAGCTTGCGTGCTATCCAATCTGGCTTCAAGACGAGTTACTGCCTGGCTATCCACACAAAAGAACGTCTAGTCGTCTATTGATCCATTCATTTTCCATCACAACAAGGTCGGAGAAGCTTCAAGTGGCGATATAATTTGTAGACGAGCCGATCAGGTTCACAACCCTTGTTACTGCATGGCTAGTCCTGAATTTCAGTACAAACTAAGGAGAAACTCAGCTGCATGTCTCGATTTCATGGATAAAGTTGCCATTGTTGACGGTGTGGCTTCTTCATAACGCACTGAAAAAAATCCACATTGTGTCCATGTGCATTTGTACGCAGCTATTCATGCTGCAGCAGCTATTCCTTCTGACGTGCGACAGAACGTGCTACTCTCTCTATAGAGTGTAGACACTATCGCCTATATGATGTATCTATGTGTCGGTACAATAGACTGCAGTAATCAGGTAGTTCAAGTCTTTCAATCATCCAGAAGTTCATGGACATGTAAATATTGGATGATGCCATCGCTTTATGCGTAAACTGCGACAATATCATTCGAGTTTGCCACCTTGCAAGTCTCCTCGTCTGTCAAGAGGTACGTACTTTCTTGCCCGATCGTCAAATATCGCTCGGATAAGCAGCTTCCAGCCATAAAATAAGAACTTGCGTTTGTTCGACACCAGTTGTTTGTAATTCTTTTCCATGCCGGTGTTTTCTTTCTTTCACTCACTCACTCACTTATTCATTCATTCAGTCTTTCTTTCTTTCTTGGTTCGTATTTTGTCATTAACGTATTCTCAATGACCCAAGACGAAGAAAAAAAAGAATCGAAAGACAGATAGTTACTATACAATACGACAAACGAAAGCTTCTAAGCGACGACAACAAGAATGACAGCCAACATGACGTATGAGGTTTTGACTTGAGCTCTTTGGACCGTGAAATGAAATGTCACATAAAAGTATACAAAAAGAACGGTAAAGCCAGGTGTGAAAAAAAAAAGAGACGGACCATTTAGTCGATAGATCATAACAATGTTTAGACAACTTTAGGGCGTAGAAACAAGACAGCGTCCAGTGCCAATTGTAAGACGGAAATCCCAAGTACATACGACGCAGCGTCACTCACGATCTAGCACCTACACCTTCGTAACGACCTAACTCCATGGCCTGTCTCTCGTTCCTTTTTTTGTGACTCTGGCTATAGCTTCAGTCAGTTCATTTTCATATTTGCCTTGTACCCCTCAAGTTGCAAGTACGAATACAAGAAGTAGTAGTAATAATACAGTGTATGGAGAATCAAATGGTCATGGCTACATTACTACCACCATCCCCACCACAAGCAGCAACATTATCACTACCATCATCAGATGATAATATAGAGACATATGAAACATTAGGTCAAGCCTGGAATTGGTCTCCGAAACAACCTCAAACGCTTGATCGTAAGAAGTCTAGAGCTTGTCCTACTGCATCAATCAAAGGCCGTGCTCAACGTATATTGCATAAAAGCTGTAGTGAAGTAGCATCAGTGAAGTCATCAAAGGATCTTGTGGCGACATGTTGCAGTACTAATGTACTTGACGTAGATGAGAAGCACAAGATTGATCAATGCAACAAGTCCATGGATGAGAATGAGGAGGAAAGACGAGAACGTATTACAGCACGAGCGGAAGAGATCTTGCGTGGCAAACGCTGTGTTGGAATGCTAGTTGGTACCACATGTCCCGTGTGCCTCATGGACGATGTGGATACACAATTATCAGGATGTGGTCACTTGATTCACGCCAAGTGCATTAAACGCTGGGTCCAGTCAGGTACGTGTTGTCCTGTTTGCAGAGAAGAGGTGGTGGACGTGGAGGAAGCTTTTACGTCTCCAGCTGCTTTGGAACTGACAAAAGACCGTCTAACGTCATCCTCTGAAGCTGGAACGTATTTACCAGAAGATGAAGAGGGAATACAGACGGAGGATGATACCAGCTATGAATGGGGCTGGTTTGAAGACTTTGACGAGGGTGACAATGGATCAGATGGTGGTTTCTCGACTAAGAGAAGCGACATGGTGTACTTGGCTCGTCGGTCACTACCGACGTTTCCAGCCTCGGCAAGTATGAAGTCACTTACGACACCTATACTGAATCGACAAATGTCGAGTAGATTTAACATGTTTCGGACGTTCCCACCTCTTCGTGAGATCTACGACACGCCCTATCACCTGAGCAAGTATTCATGGATGCGAGTGCTACCGTCTCACCGCCACATTGCAGCTAATATTCAGATCCACACCTTTCGCATTGTCGAAGCCAAGAGTTCCAAGGAACATGCTGAGTACCTTATTGAGATGCAGCTGGATGGCCACTACTTTAGCCGCTGGCGTCGTTTCTCCGAGATTTATCGTTTTGTGAACTCGCTGAATCGTAACCAGTTTCGGCAATCGATGGTGGTCTGGCAACCCATTGAAGCTCATAGTCGGTGGTTCAACCGCCTTGAGCTTAGTTACCTGCATAAACGATGTCGTATGCTCGAGGAATTTGCCTACATGCTATTGATTGAGTGCTCGAATGCGCATCCGTTGGCTGATCTAATGGAGTGCTAAGGACATTGACGTGACTTATTTATATTCGTAGAGTTTTTTGCATGCAATGTAGAGCTAGAGTGTTCGACCACATGATGAAGGAATAGAGATAACACAAGCGATAAACATGATCACTTTCTTAAACGCTGCGTGCACTCAATGGAGCAGCAATAGGATGGCTCTTGTATATTATGATGCACAAGCTGTAGGTAGTTAGTGACAGTGCGTCACTTTGTTTGATCAAGGGCTACTAACACTTGCGCATTGACCAAGCAGCCGCCATGTCACTGATATTGATTGGAGCAGACACGTAGGATTGGAATGACCCCATTGTGCAAACGTGGAGACTGTCTCATGTAATTTGCATTCAATACATGAATGGATGGGGTGGATTTACATTCACAAGCTTCGTCTGTAGGCATCCATCGCAATCCAGCTTCAAATGGCACGTGCGGTCTCATCGTGACTTGACAAGAGACTCATGTGACCAAATCCACGTCCATTACGCAGGTGAACACTATCCCTGGCTCTTCAGAAATGCATACGCACGTGCAATGTACGGTTCAGTGATTGCACGCACGCAATTCACTCGTTCGGTCGTGCGGCAGGTGGGAATGGGTCTTACGTAGTATCGCGAGCACGCATCTTTCCAACTGCATGGGTGGACGACCTGCATACTTGTCAAACAAGGTGTTGAGATTACTGATCGGTGTCAATGAACACAAGTGAGCTCTCTATGCCTGTCAGTCTCACCACCATTAAGAGGTGACTGAAACCGATATCAAGGAGCTCCTCGAAACATGCACTACCAAATGATTACCATGAGTATTGACTGACGAGAGTGATAAGATGGCTCAAGTAATGCTTGAAGCCACTTGTTGACTTTCATGGTCTCACTATGACAGACCTGCCAAGGCACGTAGTGAGTTATCGATCCACGCGACGAAGAATGCTTGTCTGCTAGTGGCACAAGTTCAAACTACGAAAATCGTGTTGCTGCGCATGATCGTGTGCGTTTAGTATTGACAACAATGAGTGGCCTTGTGCACGGCTACGACGGAGGCACACAAATCCGCTATGCATACGCAAATGCTACACGTTCGCTGTCCAAAGCTTCCACGAGGACGAGCGATCGCTCGGTCTTGTACTACTCCGCGAACGTCCGTGGCGACCCTGTGCTGTCTCGAAAGTAGATGGATGCTGCACAGAGGTATTTTGTCTTGCTGCTTGCGTCACTTGACGTTCCTGCGCCTCACGCAGCGCTGCACTAAGCTGCTCCATTTTCGACTCGTATGCTAATATCACGTGCTGTGACTGGCTCAAACGACTCTTCATGCTCAGTATGTTGCCTTCAAGCTTGCGAATCTCAATGTCCTGCTGAGCCAGCTCCCCCTCCTTCTGCTCTAGCTGCAGCTTTAAACGACTTACATCTGACAGCTTAACAGCATCAAACATTTGGTCGCGAACCACACTGCCACGCCGCTTGAACTTAAAGCGCACCTCACTCGTTGATGAACCCGACGCTGATCCGGGTGATAATGGAGGATCGTCCGCTGGATGGCGCTCAAACATTTCTGCGGACGATAACTCTGGGTTGCTAGCACTCTCGACAATATTATCGTCATCATTTTGCATGTGACGTGATTCCAGTAACGTCATGCGGTTTTCCTCATCGTTAACCGGGATCTCGTGAGCCGAATTGACGTAACTGGTCTGGATAGCGGTTTCCACGGTCTTGGCGTTAGAGACAAACGACTCCACCAGAAAACCAACGAAAATGGGAAGCAAGATGTTGCTCATTGTCATGCGGTACGCAAAGAAAAAGACATAGGTCGAGTCAGAGCCAGTCACGGCATGAGCAGCGTCCATAATGGCATCCCAACCAGCAAGGTTCGCCACTCCAAATAGCGTCACAAGTGTTTGTTCGAATGTCTCTGCCTGAAATTCCTCGCGCTGGCTGTACCAACCAGGTGACATCGACTGTTTGCTAGCTGGAAAATCCCGCAATGCGATGCCGTAGTTAGCCTGGGTGACGATAGCAAACGCGTATGTGAAGCTGAAGATCACAAGCAGCAGTTGCACAAGCAACGGCATAATGGCCTTCATTGTGTACATGATCTCGTGAAATGGTGGAAATAGATTCAACAACTTTAGAAAGCGCAGCGATCGAACTGCTAGCGCCATGTCGTAAAACACTAGCGATATGTTAGGCGGCTTGGATAACGTCGTGAGTACGTAGAACAACCAGCCTACACTGACAACAGCCAAGTCGAGCTTGCAGAACGGTCTTGTAAAGAATTCAGTATAACCGAAAGCAAACATCTTGACCAGCACTTCTAGAGTGAACAGGTTGATCAAGAAAAACCCCAGTAGCCGCCACGAGTGGTTCACGGAAAATGCTAGCTCAATGTTGTTAACTTGTACAGCCTGAACAACTGAAAGGCAAACGAGTATACCGACCACAAGCTCAGCCAGCACTACTCGATATCGACCAAAGAGGTAGACTTCGTACAGCAATATACTACGAACTTGTCCACGAAAGCGACGAAACGACTGACGCTGGCGTGACGTGCAAAAACGTCGCATTAGGCTGTTTGAAAAAAGCGTTGGTCGTTCTAGTTTTACACTCAATAGTGAACAAAGCTGATAGAAATCCGTTAAATCCAAGAAACCAACGTGTTCCATATCCACGGTATTAAACACGAGCTCAGCATCCGTTGGTGTCCAGTTTGGCTTCAAATATTCACATACACTAATCCATGAAGCCAGGGATATATAGCGCTTTGTCGCTGGAGTGACAAGATTTTGACTTGGATTTAAATGAGCAGCATTAAACGATGGACGTTTGTCAAATGTTCCTAGAAAGAATCGTGAAGATCCACGTCGGTTTGCGGCATTTAACATGGCAGCATTGGATACTACACTAATCTCACTTGTTGGATAAAGTAGTGATCCAGAACTTCCAGTAGCACGTGCTTGATTTTTCATGCAAAACTCCTTGTCCTCGATCATTTCGTCCTCCAGAGTATCAAGATTAAGATTTTGAGCTAAAATATCAAATGCTGCATACAGTGCTGCTTTTCGTTTCTGGAGTCTCTTGTACAACATATTTTCGGTATTCTTCTTGTACGATTTGTACGAGACAGCAATCGTGAGCTTGAGTAAAAACAAATTCGTCAGCAAGACAAAGAGAATAAAAAAGAGTGCACTCCAGTGGGTCATTTGATAGTATGGATACATACTTTTGGCCATATAGGGCATACAATTGAGAATCAAGAGCATTGTATACATGGAAGAAGCAAGTGAATTGAAAAAAATTGCACTGGGATGATCACTCGTATCGGAAAAAATGAGATATCCCACTAATCCAAAAAATGCCACAAAGCAAAAACTTAATCCAAGCACGATCAATACTTCACGTAATGCGTGTAAGAAGCTGCTAAAAATTATCCGGATATTTCGTCCACGTGCGATGAAAAAAAAAGGTCGTAGTGCTCTTGAAAATCGATATGGATTAACATGTGGCAAGAGAAGATGAAGGATTAAATCCAAACTTGTCAAAAGTAATAAAACCATGCGTACAACGGCCCAGGGTTGTCGTGATACAAATTGATGTTGTGTCTCAGTCGAACTCATATACCATCGTATAGTTACATCAAGTGTAAATACCACCAGACATAAAAGATCCATCACGACATAGGTCTTCTTCCTTGTTTCACCTGGATTTTCCACAAATGCTAAGGCACACATTCCTGCAACAATGAGCATATAGACGAAACGATACGAGTCCGAATGGAAGAATTCATTCAAGAATAAAGCATCACGATCTAAACGATATCCAATTTTACGACCATGGATACCATCCTTAATAAATGCAGCAGCAATAACATATCGATCTTCTTCAAGACAAGTTTTATATTCTTTATGTGGGAGGAGAAACTCCATTTGGGGGATTTGCTCTTGTATTGTCGGTTTTTCCGTTTGCTCTTGTTTTGTAAGATCTGGTATTTTCACAAATCCCTCACAACTCGTACTTGATGCGACCTGATTATCATCAGGATAGAGTGGAATCCCGGATCCAAGACGTGTTTTTTCATCATGTGCTAATTGTTGACGATGTTTCATGAATTCCGATTGAACTTCACTTGCCATACTCTTTGCAGTACTATTTTCATCATTAATGTCACTTAAACGTTTCCATTTCTTTTGATTATCCAATACAGCTGCATCAAGACCTACACGTATACGTCCTTTAGGACGACCTGGTGATGAGGAGAGTAATGTTGGATTAGCGTTAACATTATTATGATAAGTAGTAGTTGATGTGGATGCTTTATTCACAAGTGGTGTCTTCTCATTGTCTTGTGAATGCATGGAGAGAGAGAAAAGGATAAATGGATGGATGGATGAGAGAATATAGGATAATGGATTTTTAGGACGGAGGGGAGTGATCGGGAATGTATTAATCTGATAAGTATAAGAAATGAAGGGCTATTAGAAATGAAGTATAGTGTAGTTTAACATACTCATATGGTATAGCGGCACACTTATTAAGCAATAAAAGGTAGAAGAAATGAGGTGTATACTTATTGTGACGATGAAGGAGTGACAAGATTTAGAAATACGCACGGACGTATTTGGTGCATATTTTACGTAAAAACTACATGTTGCTGAAATAGCTTCTAGATATGCAAGCATGTATACTTATATGAAAAGAATTGACAACCGAAACTCTTATTCTGTCACTTGTACTTCTTCCATTTTCACTAAATTTACAGTTTCGATAGATACGCGGATCTTTATTCTAAATACTCATACATGAATCAGCAAGTTTACACGTGTCACTTTTGTCTGGTTTAAACATTTTGATTATTTTCCAAAATGCCTCCTCGTGTTGCAAAGACTAAACTCGTGATTCCGTCTCTTGACCAACTTAAAACCATGTGAGACACGTTGTCTGAAAATTCCAAGATCTAACAAACAAGACATTTGGGTGTTGTTTTTTGAAATTTGACAAAAGTTGATTTGATTTCTATAGTGGTGAAGAATGTTTCGCTTTTGTATGTAAAACTGCGACAAAAGGTGACCCAAAGTCCGTGCTACATGCCATTGATACATTTGGCTATGAACATCAATGGATGATGTGCGTTGGGGACGTAAAAGGTGAACTCTTGGACATTGAAATTGCTAAAGCAAAGCCAAAGGTTTGTATCGCTTGTCAAGCATGAATAGTAGCAGTAGTAGTAGCAGCAAATGGAATAGTATAAAACCTTTGTGTCTTGCTACGACGGTTTGGTGTAGGTTTTAGTTGAATTGGGTGGATTATATGGCTATAGTGCCATTCGATTTGCTAGTGTCATGCAAGACCTCTCTGGTTCCTCTGTTCATGTCTATACGTTTGAAATCTCACCTGAATGTGCAGCAATAGCAACAAAAGTACGTGACTCATTGTCCATTTTTGTACGACATTGAACGTTTCATTGTATTGATTGTGATTCGATACGAACGTGTGTAGATGGTCGAGTTTGCTGGTCTTTCGGATCTTGTAACGATCTTTGTGGGCACATTTGGAGACAATTATCTAAAGCTGAAAGAACGAGGCATTGACCACGTTGATGTACGTTTGGTTCTATACTCCAAGGAAGCAGCAGTTTCAAATTGATGCATGAGGTTCTTCCTCTGATGCTTCACATTTCATCTTTTGTTGCAGGTGTTTTTCCTTGATCACGAGAAAAAGTGCTACAAGAGCGACTTGGAGATCATTGAACAGAGTGGATTACTTCGTGTGGTAAGTATTGACATGTCTTGGGTGGTTTGCTTTGAAAATTAATCGAAAGTACTGATACGATATCTACTGAATGAAAATAGGGGTCTGTAGTAATGGCCGACAATGTTCTATATGCGCAGATTACCGACTACCTCGAGTATGTTCAAGGACATCCGCATTTCAAGTCTGTCACGCATGACTCTTTTCTCGAGTATTCCGATATCAAGGACGCACTTGAAGTATCCATCTATGTGGACTAAAGCTACAGTCTTTGTCTGCAAGAGCATGATTGGTACTACAATCGTGGCATTCTGTCTCTGGTTATAAATCATTGAGCTTTTTCAAATAGTTACATCTTGTTCTTGACATGTGCAAAGTAAAAAAGAATGGCGTTGTATTGTTGACAATCGAAGCAGGATGAAGCGATGTAAAGCGATGAGATATTGCAGATTTTGCAAGGTGAAAGGCAACAAGTAGCATAGTACGTGCTTGAATTACTTTTGCTACTAGACTTGTGCTCTACCATGGAATTGGGACTTCGCTCATACTAGAACTGCCTCGTCACATTGTTTAATACCACTAGATAGCATGTTATTGATGCTTTTTGTCAGTTTTTTAATGTAAAAGTTCGGCTTCAAAAAACACGTTTCAGTCGAGAATATTCGCTAAATGGTCACTACAATTTTCGTACAGGTCACTGAACTGAAACTCTTGTAAGACTGACATGTGAGACGGTTTTTACGACATGGCTACATTTGATCTTACCGTAGTCAATTTTGAGACGGACGCCATGCATTCTTGTGTAGTAATAATAGCAGCAATTATAATCACAATAACAACAACAAATGGTGCTGTCATTAAGGTGCATTACTTATATCATCATCATCATCATCATCCGTATATCATACGTATCAAGCAGCATTACGTAAACAAGGAACGACAACAGTAGCTGAGACCATGTACGATACAATAAACTGACTCATCTGTCTTCTATATCAATCGATAGTATAGTCAAATATAGATAAAAACCTCTTGCCTCTTGCCTGTCTTCTTCTTATGTGTCTTCTTGTAATGAAATGATTGCAGTAATTGGTCGGCCCATGGAATAACCTCATGGAATGACATTGAGACAGCATTAACGTCCACAGTAAAGACATTGTACGTTATTCAATCGACCTGAGGCCACATAACTGATACATACACAATACACAGAATGATTGGATGAGAGAACAACACAAGAACAAGATGTTGACTTGCTTCTATTGTTGGTCTATTGTTTTACTCTAGAGACGTGTCATCGAATGACTTGAAGGTGATTGCGTTCACACAAACTTTCCAGAACCTACAGATGCTGTAAGAATGAGAGAGAGAGAGATGATCTCATCAGTGTGTAATACTGATACGTTACGTTGGACTTTAGATTCTGCTTCAATACGTCACTAACGTACGTGAACGTGCAAAGGACAAACCTAGAGACACTGAGTGCATACAACAACCTCTTGTCATCATTTCAAGATGTTGTGCTTACAAGAACAATCCAGGAGCTGTAAGGAACGAACGTCATTGAGTCATGACTGCTTACTGGATGATGCAGACTGAGTTGAATGCGTGTGCACTGTAGTGATCTGTCGGCTAATTGGTTGTCGGATTGGAAAAACCTGAAGCTGCCTCGAGACTTGCAGACGTTGTACGTCTTGTGTTCTTCAAGTCGGGGGTGATAAGTCACATTCACTTAGCAAAAAGAATTGATTGTAACAATATGCAGGAACCTCAGTCACAATTCGATAGCCGATATATCGGGCTCCAACTTGTCAGCAGCGGTAAAGTTAGTGTCAATGTAAGTCACTGAAGCTTTTTCTCTAGCCACTGGTACGATGAACGCAGTTTCCCTGAAAGGCTTTATGTTCCAGTGATCTTTCGTCGAATATGCTGACATCTGTGGTTGGAGTGGTCTTTCCAAGCAACCTGATGGACCTGTATGCAATGCCTTGATGAGGTTCGTGCAAAGTCGGTTGATACGACTAAAATGTTTGTACTCGTATTATTGTAATTCACAGAGATCTCAGCGGCAACAGGATCCATACTTTCGAAGTTTACAAGGCCGATTTTGCTGTGCTTTCCAACCTCGCCACTTTCAAGATGGACGATCTTGAGCAATCGACTTGTTCGACTAGCAGTGCGACGATTGAAACAATCAAGAACGTTCAGATTTGTGTAATCACTGGTATGAAGTATATTCAAGTGTGGCTTTGCCATGATACGAATGTTAATATCTCTGATCCATCGCAGATGCCGTGTTTACGCCTGCGCACTTGAGCAGGCAAAGTGGTACGTGATCGGAAACCACACAATTGACTCATTCCAGTATGATATCGACATTTTACGTATGGCTGCATTCTTTCAGTGTCGAAGGCGGATAAAAGCATATTGTACGCCAGTGTAATCTTGAGTGCTCTAATAAGCCTTTGGTTTCTGGTGCTCCTCGTGGGTCACGCTATCAAGATGTATCGACATGGAGCCAAAACAAATGAACAACAGCGCGATACGATGGAAACTTCGACTCTTACAGCCTCCAGGCACTGGTCAGTGTGGAAGGAGGACGAACTGCCGAACGACGTGCGATTCGACGAAGACTTCATCTCGTACCGCATTGACCCGTCAGACGTAATGCAAATTCGCACCTTAGCTCATGGCAACTTTGCGATATTATCATTAGTCCATCTCGGCGACAAACAAGCTGTCATGAAAAAGGTTTCGATTCATCCACAGGGCCAAGATCGGGACCAGATGATAGCATTTATGCATGAGATTCGCGTATGCGCGAAGTTAGATCACCCGATGGTCGTAAGGTTTCTCGGTATCATGTGGTCCAGTCTCTTCAATCTTGCATCTATCGTTGAGTACGTTCCGCTTGGGAATCTTGCGGTGTATTTGAAAGAAATGAAGTCTTTAGGGAAGAATTCCCGATCGACATTTACGTGGATGGAATCATCCAACAACTCTCCTGCGAAATTATCGTTATCGCTACAAATTTCTAAAGCGCTCGTATATCTACAGACTTTTGTACCTCCAGTCATTCACGGCCACATAAGAGCGGAAAGCATGCTGCTCGGATCAGAGTGGAATGTCAAGGTAAATCGACTTGGTTACACACACATATCTTCGTTATCGATTGAAGATCGAGCATGGATTGCACCAGAGGTTTTGACAAGTGGTACATTTGATGAAAAGTCGGATATCTACTCTTTTGGAGTCCTGTTGTCCGAGCTGGATCGTTGTAAGCTACCTTTCTCGCGCAAACAAACAACTTGTCGATGGCAATGCGGTAATGACGCCATCCTTCTCAAGCCAAAGTTTTGTAAAGACTGTCCATTGGAGATTCTGGAAATTGCGCAGACGTGTCTGAACGACGATCCCTCGGTCCGTCCTACAGCCAGGGAGCTTTATGATTCTCTTTGGCGGATTTCGCATCAAAGTCAAGGCCATTCACCGAGTCGGAAACGAGATGGAGCACATAATGTTTCAGTCTGATGAGAAGTAAGTTGCCCTGACGAGAATAAGGCAAAGAGTATGTATGCATTACTTTGAAAATGTTTTCATGTTATCACTACGGAATACTGTAGTAGGGTAGCTGTTTACGTGTTTTGTATAGGTAAGCATCATATCAAGCGTCAAATGATTCATATCATAGCCATTGAAAACGACTTCCTTAACTAGTAAGAGCTTTTACGTCCTACAAATGTACGACACATATTGACGATATACCACTTGCCACAACGTCACATGTGCTCAACAGCTGCATACAACAGAACAAAGTCGCAGGTTGAAACGAGTGTTATAACTTGTGCTTCTACTATCGTCTCGTAGTCGAAAATGAGCGTCAAACTCAATCGACATGCACGATTTTGTCTGCTCTAGGCAGGTAGGGTAGTAATTAGTTAGTTCGTCTTCACAATCCATACTACTAGCTTCAACCAGTTCCGACCAGATCGGTACAGACTCATGAACTGAACTGGCTTAACTGCCTGGGCCGGTACAGTGGTCTTGTGGCTCGAAAACGTCTTTTTAAATGGAATCAAATACTAGTAAAAACGAGCTTTTGGACGCTTTTCTACAAGATCATGGAGACAAAAGCTGCTCTCGGTCCCGACAGTTTTGGATTCAAGATATCAACCTCAACTTTAAAGGCAGTGGAGAACGTATCTTGAGCTTGAACTAGATACAAGCAGGATAGAATTACCTCATGCACGCATGTGTGTGTGATCGATACAAAGAACTCGAGAAGTTTATGTCGAGACTAGTTTTTTCTTGTTTTAGTCCACTACTCCTTATGCTTGTGTTTTATGAACATGACTCAGCTCGTGAATCTTTTTCTTACCGGATCTCTTCATGGTTGTGTCAAGTTACAATGACTTTGTAGCATTGTAAAACACATTGCAAAACACATGGAAAGCTCTTGACGTACTGACAATGCAGAAAGAGAGACAGAGACGTTACTAATCGGGTCCAGACAATCCACTAAACAACACGTGACGATCAGACGTCGTGGAATTTTCAATACAAATGCTACCAACCTCTCCTCCCAGCTTTTCAACTTCTCCGGTCGTCTGATCATTTTTCCAAGTAGCAAACCATCCTTTCAAGAGACTAGACAGACTATACGTTAATTCATAGAATCATCCGATCTCATGAACGGACCAGACAAAGTAGTAAATAAAAACAGACCTTGTTCCACAGTTTTCGTACAGCATGCTTAGCTTAGCTTAGCTTAGTTAGTTAGTTACACATTACCCCGTTTGTACAATTCATTCCAGTCCCGTCCGTCCTTTCCTTCCTTCATCAATTGTATTCATACGACAAACAGTTCAGTCGGGAACAAGCATACCATCTTAGCTCGAGACTTGAGCTTTTTTTTCAAACACACCACGTCATTTCTTGCTTGTCCTGAAACAGCGTTTAATTGAAAATGGTGCAGTGGAAATTAGTTTGTGGATTCGTCGCATTCTTTGCAGTAACAACAGTCAATAGCTCGCCTATTGGACTCGATCAAACGTTGAAGGACGAGGTCATATACATGGACGCAAACTTCCCGGGTCGTGGGGCACAATATTCCAACCTCGATCCGACGGCAGGGACTTTGGCTGCTCTCCATTTATCAAAAAAACAGCGTCGTCTCGAGTTGACAAAGAGTACAGATATGCTGAAGATTGAAAAGTTCTTTGGCCTGGAGCTAGAAACGGACATTACCAAACTTCCCACGAAATGTAAGCACAGCCCGTCTCCATGGCCAGGTAGCTTCTGGCCGACGTTTTGTGACAGTTTGAACCACAAATATTCTAAGAAGTCTGAGAGTCCCGCAGCAAAGTACGCAAAGGCTTTTGGTTATGACATCAAGGCCTTTATGGACAAGATTTCAGCTTTAAAGGGAGTCGACTCGATGAAGCACCGCGAAAAGTGCACCAAAACCGCTGAGTGCAAAGCACTTAACAATACGAGCGTGTGCGCCAAACGCCTCGGGATGAAGCAAGGTTACTGTGTTCCGAAATGGTTTGGTATTTGTCATGCTTGGGCACCTGCCTCAATTTTGGAGGCCGAACCGGAGTGTGCAGTCGAGCACAATGGCGTATCTTTTGAGCCGTACGACATCAAGGCTCTGCTTACTCTAGCATACGATGGTGTCAAACTCCCGACAATTTTTACGGGCACTCGTTTTGCGGGTAAAGACACAGCCCCGAACTCCACGGACCAATATGGCCGCTTCACAGACTACCGCCGTCGTGACATCAGCCCGGGTTTTTTCCACATTGCTATTACAAACATTATGTGCCGCTTCAACAGTACTTTTATAATCGATATTGCTGCTGGTAATGAGGTTTGGAATCAGCCAGTGCACAGCTACGAAATCCTCCGTCTATCCTGGATGACTCCCAAGGCCGTCGCCAAGAAATATTTTAAATGCGACAAGTATCCGTTCAATGACGCCGCTACGAAAATTGCCGTTGTCACCACCCGACTTCGTTGGGTCAAGGAGGCAGGCGTGAACGGGCCTCTTGTGTCAACTGGTATCGTTGAGAAGTACACGGCCAGCGCTGACTACGATTATATCCTCGAGACGGATGAGACGTACCATGTTTTAGGCGGTGAGTGGATCGCGGGCAGTATGAAGAACCATCCCGATTTTATGTGGTTTCCTGCCTCCAAGCCTGAACTTTCCGCCATTACGGCCACAGGTTTGAACTACTCAGAAGTTGAGAATCTACTCATCAAGTCAACTGGTGGCAACTGTAAGCTGGCCTCCGCTGATAAGAAGAATCAAACGGTAGCAGTAGACACATCAAGTTCTGCATCATCAGCTGAGCTGCCCGAACTTGCCTCAAGTGATTCTTCTACTCCGTTGGCAGAACCCACTGATGACTCGTCCGCACATACCATAACTGATGCTGATGCTCCGTCGGCAGAACCCACTGGTCACTCGCCCGAACCTGCCTCAATTGAGTCTGCTACGTCGGCAGAACTCACTGATGACTTGGCTGAATCTGGTGCTTCTGCTTCGCTGGCAGAAAGTACTGATGGTTCGACCGAACGTGCCACAATTGATCCTAATGTTCTGCCGGCAGAATATACTGATGAAAAGCCTAAACCTCCCTTAACGAAGCCTTCTGAGGCAGCTTCGCCAGCAGCACCTACTGCTGATTTTACCGCTTTGCTCAACGTCCCTGGCTCAACTGCCACTGCTGTTTTGACCAAACCTGTCTCAACAATTGCTAATCCCCCGCCTGCTCCGCCTGTAGATGCTAAAACCCTGCCTGCTCCACTTGAAGATGTTAAAACTCTGCCTGCTCCACCTGAAGATGTTAAAGCCCCAGCTCCACCTGAAGATGTTAAAGCCCCAGCTCCAGCTCCTGAAGGTCCAGTAGCAGAATATTAACGTCCGTGATAGATTTATCCTCATCTTTTTCTATTGAAAAAGTGAAGTCTCTATCTCTGCCTATTAAGCGTAAACGAGGCGTAGTCTTCTTTTCATAAACTAACGCAATAAACCATGTTTGTAGATACGATTGATATATCTTACCATGTACTAACTGGTTGCTAGTAAGCTTGCATATCTGAGAACCAATTGACGCGCAAAATGAGACCATCAAGCGTAAAGCAAGTGGCCCCAAGAAATCTAAAAACGTCGGTGCATTCATCAACTTTGACTATATCAGCTTGGCTCATTCGAGTTTTTCGAACTGATTGTGCCTTGTGCAGTTCATGCTAAACAGAGTTTTGACTCAGGTGGCAGCATCAACTATTAGACACTCAGCGTCGACTAATGTAAGTTATCATCATCATCATCACTCTTTCATTGAGTCGATACGCGTTCGATTCACGTCAACTGCCTGCGCTTTAGCATGGATATGTATGGTAATGCTAACGCTTTGATCCTATAGACCGACTCAAAACAACAAGAACAGTAAAGGACCTAGGAGCTCCTTCATAGACTCAAACGGGATATGTATACTATTGAAATCGAATCGACAACATTAGTCGCTTTTGCAAACGTGTTTATTTTGTATGATGTACGACAGACGCTTCATGGAGAAATCGTATCGATACTTGAGGTCATATGATAAAAATTCGCTTCACGTTTGACTCGTCATTGACACCATTCTTCAAATCGTTTCCATGATTCTCATCTGTATCCGGTTAAGATTTTGACTCAGATTGTTTTTTTTTATTTACGGACAAGTTTGTGACGAAACGTATTTAGTTGTATGACATATAGCAGTTTTCCTAAGTAAATGACCTTAATAAAAGACTAACGATCCATTCAACCCATCCCTTTTTATATGTACAAAAGCGGACCTCTTGTCCCTATTTTACAGTGACGACTTCATGTGCTAATCTAACGTTCGTACATTCGTTCAGATCGTTCATTCTACGACTGCTTGTCTTCCTTCTTTTCCTGCAATCAAGACACGCTCAAAGCAAACAAACCCAGGTTTCCTCATTTTGAATAGTAATAATAATAATAATACAATACCTTAGCCGTTTGTTTGCTCCTCCATACGCAACTATGTTCCAACTACTATAGTCCTTACAATCCATTCATTTTCCTCATACCTGATCCTTGAGCTTTTCGTTGAAATCGACCAGGACTTTTTTTGATCAGGATAGTTTCTGTATTGATTTTCATACCTACGCCTTCACTCAACTCGTGATCGCCAGCAATGCGTGAATGATTTTTTCGATCACGTCTGGCAAAGACCTTCTACTGCTGATTTCATTCATTCATTCATTCTTGATTTGTGCATCACTTTGAAAAGCAAACAACGTGCATTGCTGGATTGAGTTTGATATCACCCTTATGAAGCTCTCGAAATTTGCAAAACACTCGCTCACGTTTGCCGGTCCGTCCCCCATTCAACATTTGAAACGGTTGTCCAAGACTTTGGGCAACAAGGTTCAGTTGTATGCAAAGCGCGAAGATTGCAACTCGGGACTAGCGTTTGGTGGGAATAAGACACGTAAACTCGAATATATTATTCCAGACGCGATTGAAGGTGGCTACGATACACTTGTGTCCATTGGTGGTATTCAGTCCAATCAAACACGTCAAGTGGCCGCCGTTGCCGCTCAGCTTGGTTTCAAATGCGTCTTGGTGCAGGAGAATTGGGTTAATTACCCGCCCGAGGAAGCTCACGTCTATGACAATGTTGGCAACATTGAGTTGTCCCGTATCTTGGGCGCAGATGTACGTCGGAATGCAGCAGGCTTTGACATTGGTATCCGTCCAAGCTGGGAGGCAGCCATGGAAAGCGTCAAGAAGGCCGGTGGCAAGCCATATCCCATTCCAGCTGGCTGCTCAGAACATCCAAAAGGTGGCTTAGGCTTTGTTGGCTTTGCAGAGGAAGTTCGGCAACAAGAGAAGGAGCTGGGCTTCAAGTTCGACTATGTCGTCGTGTGCGCTGTGACAGGTAGTACCATGGCCGGCATGGTGGTTGGCTTTGCAGCCGATGGACGAGCGAACAAGGTCATCGGGATTGACGCGTCTGCTACACCTGAAAAGACCCGCGAGCAGATACTGCGTATTGCCAAGAACACAGCGGATCTGGTCGAGTTAGGATGCGAAATCACTGAAAAGGACATTGTGCTGGATACGCGTTTCGGAGGACCAGAGTACGGACTGCCTAATCAAGGCACACTGGACGCCATACGACTATGTGCACGTACTGAGGGTATGCTGACTGATCCTGTGTATGAGGGCAAGTCCATGGATGGAATGATCTCCATGGTGCGCAACGGAGAGTTCCCTGAGGGCTCCAAGGTATTGTATGCCCACCTGGGTGGCTCTCCGGCACTGAGTGCCTACAGTTACCTATTCAAGGAAGGATAAGCGCTATGAACTTATGCCGAGAAGCCAAAGACTTCAATCACCATTTTTTACGCAAGCACTACCATTTCATAGCTGCTTCTCTACACTTTCGTATACTTCTTGTTCGTTCGACATCTTGTCCACTTGACTACCCAACGTTTCGACATGCATTAGGTCTCCCTCTACCTTTACGAGACGTTTATCGACGAAAGCATGATTAATAATTACCGTGTCCAAGTTGAAGTCCATTGATGGTTTGTAGCACATGCCCGTGTGCTTTCAGAGCCAGGTAAACGGCACAGATTTGAATTGTGGCGTTTAGAAGTGGCCCGATCAGGTTGATACATTCGGTCTGACAAGCTTGCAGTTTCCATTCAAGAAGCTTCAAGTGTCAGTCAGGTCTTTGAGACAAAATGGCAGTAGCGCAGACGAGTTGTCAAGGTTGCAAATTCATTGTAGTACAGAGATATTCCTGTACTACAACACTGTTGACGTCATATTCGTGAAATTAAGGATTGAAGTCGACAGCTTGGTTACGTTTTGATACGTATCAGTGAAGATACGGCAGCTGTGTCAGAGAAAAGATGCAAGAGGTGTCCAGTGTGAACCGAGTCTCAGAGAGACTAGGATTAAAGAGTTCAAGCGACGACGAGACGCAAGATGAACTTGACTATAAATATTCAGTCACGCAGTCAATTACTATGAGCACAGCCTTCAAACGATACACGAACTCATATCCAGTCGAGACAAGGCAAGAAGTTTGGTAACATTGTTTTCTTACATGCCCCTACAGCTTCATGGAGAGGTTGTCGTGATGATACTTGCTACGAAAGTAGTCGCGCACGTAGCCAAGCACGAAGAAGTATTCATACACGAGAACTATGGACGTGTCGGCAATACCCCAGTCACAGCTCCCAACGAAAGCTAACGGGTAGCGGGATATCTGGCAGACCTACGACGTTTGTACTGCTGGCAACGCGAAAGTCGCTAACGCGTAATGGTGGACCAACAAAAATGACGACGAGCACCACAAAGAGCAACACGTACCAGAAGAGTTGAAAGGTGTTGTGCCAAATTGGACGACGGAAGCACGAACCCAAACCCATAGTGAGACCTGTAGACATCTGCTGGAAGCAAACGATAAACCAAAGCGTCGAGACTAGGTTGCTATCTTGTAGTAGCCACCACTGTACGAGATTAACATTGCTCGGCTGGAATGGGCAGTACCAGGGCTGTGTAGTTAGTTCGTGGATAGCACCATACAGGAACAACCAGTGGATTGTAGCCGCGCCTACCAGCGAGCATACCGTTGTGGGATCTACTAGACTCGATGTAGGACGCTGTGTTCCCATTTTATCTAGTGGCCGAGCGCGTGTAAGACCGTACGAGATACCGACAAGAATGACTCCATCAAGGAACTGCGAAATAAACACGCCGTTATAGTACATGACAGTACGACAGCCGATGCCGATGAGACCATACATGATGAGATACTTGACGCTCGAGAACGACGTCGCGAGCGCTCCGCGGCCCTCAAACACAAGGTCCACCACCGAAATGAGCGTTCGAAACTTGCTTGTGAACGGAGACACCACTGAAGCCTCAGCGTCGCTGAGGGCAACGCCGATGTGAGCAATGCGCAATCATTACCACCATCGCCACACATTCCAGTCACCGATCCGGTCGCCATGTGCAATTTTACGCAGTCAACCTTACCCTGTGGCGTCATGCGACTGAAGATGCATTTTGAGCAGAAGCTTTTGGATATTTCCAATCTTGACCAGAAAGTCGAAGCACTTCCCAGTCACAGCTAATCCCTCGTTTGTGTCTACAGCCTTCACCATGTCGCGGATGTTGTCAACGGAGAACACCTGTTGCGTGTTGACGTCCTTCCATACGAGCATGCTACCAATTTTCTCGTCGTCCACAATATCACCAAGAATAATCTAAGCGTCCTCGTTCACCATGCTACTGGCACGAGCAATGTAGCAACCCGTCATTGCATTATCGCCCGTAATCATCACTGGGCGGATGTTGCCCTGCTTCAGGGTCAGGATGGCGTTGCGCGAGTCCTTCTTGATCTCGTTGCGGAACATGACAGGCCCAGCATAGTCAAAGACACCTCAACAGCGTCTCGTTCGGCTAACAGGGCTGACAGATCAGCTTCAACCATGTTCGGTATCACCTTGGCGGCAATGCCAAGCACATAGCAGCCATTTTTAGCTAAGTTTTCAGCGGTCTCGAAGTAGTTCGTAGGAACTGAGTCACTAGAAATGGACGCCATCTTCTCATACGAGCCCTTGCAGAATACGATCAGCTTACCCGTACTCTTTTGCTTCATCACGACGCTCATTGACAGTCGCTGGTGGTCAAACTCGAAGCGTTTCACGAACTCTAACTCTCTCGTACCTTCTGCAGATTGAACAATAGGAAGCTGGCCTTCCAGCTCTACAGACTTCCACTGCGTACTTTTGAGCATCTTTACCTCCAACAAGTTCGCTACTGAGCAATCCAACGGCGTGGCATGACGCCAGCGAGAACTTCATCATCTGGCTCAGGGAAGCATCCGTCATATCGCTGGTTACCGACATAAATTCGCCCGAGTCAATAATAGGAACACAACTTCGGTATTCAAGACCTCCTTCGTGATCGTGCCCGTCTTGTCAAAGCAGAAGATGCGCACCTTGCCACATAGAATGATTCGCTTCGTGCTCAAACAGAAGATATTCTGTTTGTGCAGACGCTTAGCAGCATTCACCTGACGGACAGTCATCACCACAGGCAGGAGGGGGTTAAGCACAGCACTAAACATGAACATACCATACACGAAGGCGAACAGCGTATTGCTCAGACCTGCGTTGTCGATCAAAAACTTCATTGCAAAGTAAGCTGCAATCAAACCGACCACGAATAAAACTGAGAATACGGCCTTAAGGTGCTCGTCGTACTTGAACCTGATCGTTGCAGGGTGCAGAATGGCCTGCACAAGCTGCCCACGGCTAGTGTGTGTTTCAATAGCCTGCGCAACAGCAAGAATCTTCTCGCCACGACCTGAAGCCAAAGTTCTTGTGCCTGAAAAGAGTGTGTACTTCTTTCCAGCGCCCTCTGCGTCATACACTTCGCAGCTGTCGTTGGGCAAAGAAAACTTTTGCACTGGCATCGACTCTCCAGTCAGCATCGCTTCTTCGCAAACCATTGAGCCCTTGACGATCACACGGTATCTTCCAGTTTTCCTCCACGCAAAGTAGATCACCAGGAGTCAGGTCAAATGACTTGATTGTCGACCACACTCCATCACGCATGACCGTCACCTCCGCAACGTTGTGCGTCATTTTCACGACAGAAGCAAGCATACTGCGCTTAGCTGAGATGTTAAATGCAGCCGCCAACACAATTACGACGGTGTTGAGCACCGATGCCCAAACGTAGTTCGTGAAATACCACACGTAGTAGCACATGAGCTGATAGATGCAAAATAAGGAGAAAAACTCGTGGACAATCGAAGCCGCCCAAGACGGCATCTTCACCTCGATAGCGTTGCAGCGCAAAATATTCTGACGACGAGCGTGCTCGTCAGTGGTAAGCCCCTGCGAGTCCGACAAACTATCGTTATACAAGTTTGGAAGCACGACAAAGCCCGGGATGAACTTTCGCTCAATATCATCAAACAGATATCGAAGATGCTGGAACTCGAGGTAACGTGCACCTTCAACAGTCATGTGCACGGTCACGGTCTCCTCAAAATCCTGACGCGAGTGCGGGAACACGAAGCTCTCCACCTTTAATACCATCTGAGCAACCCCCGAGCGATCCATCAGCATCGTTTCCGGCACTTTTGGTTTATACATGAGCACATGTGTACACTTGTCTAGAGTAGTTGGGTAGCGGAAGAAGTTGAGGATCTTACAGCGGTACAGAATTATCACGGCAAACCAAACCGTTGCAATCACCCAGAGTAAGATAAACACCTTTATGACAACAGTAGTGGGGTTAAACCAAGCAGCGTACTCGTCTGTCGCTAGTTTTCCCTGATTATCACAAATCGTCAGAATGATAAGGAGATTGACCAGCACCGTCATGAGATTGAAGTAGCCAAACACCACGTAGCCAACAACCGAGTCCGTGTACCCTGTCTGCACAATGTCCTTCGTGCTATTCGCTAGCTTCACCTTTAATGAACGATCAGTCAAAGGTGAACGAGTGATTGACGTATTGATAGTAGGCGTCTCGGGTTTATCCCTACCGTCCAACAGCTTCCTGTCTCCATCTGCAATTGCCGTCAGATGATCAATCGAGTCTGACGAGTGATGGACACTTAGCACAGCGCGAAATGCTGCCCAGCACACCAGAGAGACATAGCAAAGAGCATAGATGAGTACCTAAGATGCGTCTCCGTGAAAGAGTTTCAGCGGCAGACTGACGAAACAAATGCAGCCGTGCACATAGTCTGCACTGTTGCGTTGACCTTGCCATTCTTCAGCGAAATGCTCCTGCATACAGCTCCAATAGGTAACGATGCATTGTTGTTGCGAAACAAGAGTCGTCATTGTAAAAGCTTGAGAATCCTTCACCCTGAGGTCAATTGCAGCGTATATACAAATATACAAACGCTTAATTGACCTTTCCGAACCTTTCGGTGTGCCAAGGTCACTGCAATAATATGCAGGTGAATGGTTAATCGCACAAGCTCGATAGTCCAGTTGAGACATCATCGCCCTGATAAAACTATATGGCAAGGATATAATCACCAACCATGTTCTCCTCATTGCAATGGATTGATATCAAGTGAACTAGTTTGAGTCTTTTGTGACCAAGTGATGAATAATGGTAGGGTGGGTATCAAGGAATACGACGTTTCAAGATAGTAAAACTACTGAAATCGGTAACGGTAGAGGAGAATGGATTCGTTTCCAAAACACGGTTAACTGAATGAACGAATTTAAGTCATATAGAAATGATTATATTAATCCAGTCGAGACAAGTTGTCAAGGTGGTATAGATACTTTTCAAAGTGTGAACTTCCTCAGCAGATTAGTTCACACGTGATCAAATACCTCTTTCTTTCGTAGAGATAATCGCTACAAGTAACACGCAATATCTCCAGTTGTCGCATTCCTCAATTCGTTTTCGTTTGTCTTTGCAAATCAATGCTTCTCTTTGAATGCATCGACAACCATATCGTTGTCATCACTCATTCGTCAATCTTGAGGCGTCTCACACATTGACGTTTCTCTTCACGATAACAAAACTATTATCCAATCTACTGTCCCGGTTTCAACAAATACTCTAAGGCCTGTCAATACTGAGTTTTGGTCGTAGCATTGGCAGTATTATCCTTTCGTTTGCGCTTTCGGTTTGTCTTGGACGACGACAGTTCTGTGCGGGCTATTGCCATCACCATTGCGGGTGAAGTATCTTGGCGACCACATTTTTTCTTCAAACGCAAATCGTTAGTTTTCCAGCTACGACGAGCTGAGAAAGAGGCTGGAGGTGCGCTCAGGACACCGCACGTACTACCCAGTGCAATCTCCGTGGATTTTTCTTCATCCAAATGGTCTGGAAGCTCTACAAATTGCTCCATTCCAGACATTTTAAGATGCCGAGGACACCACGCTTGATATTTGGATGATTTTATCGTAAGAAGGCCGTTCACAAACGCACAGGCCACGTGGTATGCTCGTATACACTTTCCGTGGGCACACTGAATTTTGCTCAACCCTTTTTGACCTCCACATAAAGAACACTTCAACTGCTGACGTTGCGGATCTACCAAATCGATACCATGAACGACTCCATCTTTAAAGAAAGTTTCGGGTGTGAACAGTGCGCATTGAGGATGCACCACTTGACCGGTGTCTGTAGCAGTAAAATCACCACCACTTAGCTCACAGAGTGCACACATTTCACTGCTCTCTTGTTTGAGCTTGTTCACAAACATCCCTCCAAAAGAAATATCCTCGTTCTCACTATTCTCTCCCTCATCGCTCTGCGTCTTTGTCTCTGAACCAGAAACTTGCCCGTCTTCGTCCATATCACTGCCGCCATCGCTTTCATCAAAACGACGTCTAGCAGCCTGTAACTCCTGGTACATGCGCTCATAATTGCGCCACTGGATATCCTGCAGCTCATGCTGATAGTACTCCTTCGACGCGTACTCTTCATCCACTTTAGTTGTAAGAGAATCAAATGCCAGGTCGTTCAACTCCATTATGGAGCGGAACTGTTGCTGCAAAGTAGCCAATTTGCTCTTAATTTTGTCTTCTTCGTCTTCACTCTCCGAATCATCCTCGCTCACTTCGTCTCCAACGCGATCTTCGATGCTCAGAACCTCAAAAATGAAACATGCGTTTGTCAAAGCGTCAACTTCGGAGAGCTTAACTTCAAAGTGACGATCCATGAGAATTTCTTTCGCAAGAGGGACGTGATTGAGATGTCCTGAATTTCTTTCGCAATACACGGTAGCATCTGCGGTCGAGAACTGCAATTGGAAGCGGCAATGTTTCGGCGGCCTTCCAATTCCTACATCTGGGAGTGCGCTCAGCTTTTCTGTGTCCGCTGTCCGACTAACAGCAACAAATAGCTTCACACCCAAGGTGCTTACATCTACCTCCGCAGCATCTTTGGCAACGGTTTCCGGTTCACATTTCTGCCTTTTACCGTTTGACGTAAAGCTATGTTCTTCGCTCTTCTCAGACCGCACTGTGTCAAGATCCACCACGCTGATATATTTGCGCTCCACCCTTTTTTTCGCTGCCACTTAAAACGTAGGCAACGTTGTAAGTAAACCGCTTTTTACCATTGGATAATTCTTCTTTGTTCACTTTTTTTATTCGACCTACGCCACCGTGTTTGTTCATACCAGGCCACGTGCGTGTTGCAACAGATACTGTAGTGCCCACTTCAAGCGCCGTTTCTTCACTTGCGTCTGTGTTCGCGTCGCCAAGAGCATCCGTGAAGATACCGGGTAATAACAAGTTGTGTTGCGGTTTGCGCAAGCTACGAAAACTCACAAGATATTCAGGTACGCGCTCGCATCGTGGCATTACCAGCAATTGACGAAGCTGACCACATTCCATGAGCAAGCCACCGAAACGTACTCCACAAATATCCTCTACGTTTCTCTGCAGCTGTGAAAACGTGCGCTTGCTCATTCTTCGGAGAAAAAATGCCGAGTCTAGTGTTGTCCAGAACAGCTTCATGGCAAGCTTCGCGTCAGACCGAAGAAACACCCACGGCCAATCAATGCCTCCACACGTAACTTCAGTTTCCGCATCACGCAAGACATCCTTTGAGCAAGCAAGATCAGAACTATGAGTTTCTGGACGAAATTCGGAGTGTGATGTCACCACTTTGGTATGTGTGGCCACCGCACCCTGCTTTACCGATACTGATGTACCGAGAGTATTTTGCGCAGCGGCCGTGACACAAACTGGTGCCGCTTCGGAAATAGCAAATTTGACCACACTATTTTTCCGCCTCGTTCGGAACCAGCAATGGACGGGTAGCGAAAGAGCAGAAACCACATCATTTTCAAACTTCTCAAGACCTATGTTTCGTAAAGTAAGATCGTTAAACGCAAATACCTCGTCACCGTCTTGTATGACTCCGTGCTTCAACGCCGCTAGAATTGCCGGATTACGGGTTTTCTGAGCGTGAAGAAAAATGCCGGCATCTTTCACAGACGATGCAATTCCAAGACCTAAAGGCCGACTTGCAATTAATACCATGACGTACTCAAAATCTCGCTCGCTCGGTTCTTCTCGTATGTATGCCGGGGGATAAATCGACGGAGCAAAGACATTCGTCTGGAGAATCATACGACTATTGGAGTTAACTTCCTTGTGAGTATAGGAAGCTTTCGTCAGATGAGAGGCTAAGGTAGAAGCCGCATCTGTGGCAGCTGGAGGAGTGGGAACAACCAAAACCGGTGTTGCGCTCTCTACTGATAGCTTGTCGTGTCGTTTTCGTTTTAGTCTGCTGGAACCGTTCCCACCGCTTTTACGTAATGGAGGTCCACCAAGCAAACGTGGTGGTGGCATTTTCGTTGGTGTTTTTTGAATCGAATATCTTTGCTTCGCACCGTATAGATAGTGCTTACCATCCGAGCAGGAGTCGTGGCTGTCGTCATTAACACTGTCGCTGTCCAACTCGTTATTACCACCATTCGTATCACCGACTATGCTAATATCTTTGCCGGACAACAAATTCATTCGAGGCCTTTTTTTTCCTGAGCTTACCTGCTTTCCCTAACAACTTAACACCTTTTTCTCCACCGTCATTTACTTCAACTTCCAAATCTCTATCTAGTTTCAAGAATTCAGCTTGGTGTTTGAGACATCCACTCCCGAATTGACCCTATCCTGTTACAGCATCAACATGGCAGAACTTAGAAGAGTTAAAGAGCTTATACACCAAGCATGTTGCGTCAAATGCTACCTGGTCTTCCATGTATCGCAATTTAATTCCGTTCCGGAGCGCACATAATGCATGATATGCAACTACGCACTTGTCTAGAGCACATTGCGCGCATGCTCCTCTTTCACTACAAACCACACCACCACACCACCACCAAAACCATCAAACCCATCCTTCACCTACATTAAGCTCTTGTATACAAACGTCACTCACTTGTTCTTCTTGCAGAAATAGCACCGTAGTCGTCTTCTCTTGTGTAGCTTATCTAGCCCACAAACAACCTGCAAATGATCTGACACGCCCTGCAATGTCGACACTTGTTTGTCATGCAAATCCAGCTCGGGCAAGAACATAGTGCACGCTAAATGAACCCATCCCCCATCCACCGTTGGTGCCATTGCTCCAGCCTTAATACAACATGCTTCGCACTCGAATTCATGTGTCACAATTATATTCTTTTCAACATCCAGAGCGTCCAAGTACGTTTTACACAAGTGACAGTACCATTTTCCCTCGGGAATTGCAGTCAATCCATAGCATGTTTGATGAACTGCCATGCGACAGATGTCACATACAATGAGTGGGTCATTGTCAATTGAGTCTGAGGCACAGCAGACACCACAGGGGCTTCGTTCCTGTGTCTTCTTCTGTTTGATGATAATATCGTTATCTAGAGGTTTCCATACGTGCAAAGAATTACTAAAAAAAGGTTCTTGAGAAACCGATAAGGTCTCGTCGTAATCTATGAGCACGTCCCCTTCTTCCTTCTCCTCTTCCTCTTGTATCATAACCTCATCGTCTTCGCTATTTACGTCAAGTAAAAGCTCCATCTCCTGCTTAAAATGACGTAGTGGCTCTACCAGAAATTCTTCTTCATGGGTCTTGAGCTTTTCTTCAATCTTGCAAATATTCTCACTCAAAAGCGCAATCTGATTCCTCTCATTGCACGTGGCCATTAACAACGTCTTTAACTTACACAGACGTTCATATACAACGGGATCGTGGATTTGGAAACCAAAAAGACTGTGGCCAAGAAGAGACTTGGCTATTATCCGTCGACGCTGCTCCATAAAGTCGAGAAAAATTGCGCGCCAAAACAAGAATGATGGTCGGTCATCCGCTTGGTTTCTCTGATTGTGCAACAGAAGACCCGGAATTGCAACCTGGTTATGGCCAATAGAGTCTAAGGGAGCAAATAATGGCATCAAAATATGGAGCTTATTTATTGCGATAGTATAGCGTACCATAATGAGTTTATCATTTATTAAAAGGCACCATAAAGGCCATCGTCCACATTGATGGTATCACTACTTTGTCCATCGTGCACTCAGCGACATGAATGCTCTGCTGCTTAATTTCATTTTCATGACATCGCAATAGACTCATAAAACCGTTTGCTACGTAAAGTGGCTGGTAAACAAGTGTGCTTGATACATAGTCGATAATCATATAAACACCACACATTGGTGTGAGATAGCAATGGGGCAACTATTCTGAACAGAAGTAGGATAGTACTTGCGTAAGAAGAGCACCATATCAAACGCGGATCGTGCATTTCCTTTCACATACAGTGATAACGACTTCTTTTGACGAACATTATTGTGAAGCCAAAAAGCGATTCGAAGATGGCCTTGCTTTACAGCATATTCGATCGCTAAAGATGAACAGCTTTCGCTTCTGTTGGCGTATAGCCACTTTAATATCTCCAAATGGCCATTATAAGCAGCAATTTCCATCGCATCAGATGTACAGCTCTTTGATTGACGAACATGGAGCCACTGCACAATTCGCAAATGGCCATATCGAACAGCTACATTCATAACCTCCGTCGAGTACTTCCCACAAGCATTGCGAAAAAGCCATTTCAGGAGCTCCAAATGTCCGTGTCTGGCAGCGACAGTCATCGCGTTAGGAGACTGCAACGAGCTTGTCAGCGCTTTATGGAAAAATGTACTCCTGTTGTAGAAATACTGCAACACATCCAAGCGCCCATGCTTTGTGGCTTCATGTATGATGTCGTTTGCTTTAAGCTGAGGCATCCTTCGCATGTACCCGACAAGACACTTCACAGTGCTCAAGGATACATGTTGCATTGTCAGCCGCAAAGCATCTCCATGTAGATCGCAACACCCCTTTTTATAGAGATAATGAATCACCTCGATTTGATTTCCTTGTGCTGCTGCGCAAAGCGGACGGAAGTACAACCCAGTGTTGACAAGAAATGCTTCACGTCCTATTGGGTATTCCATTAACCAATTCATCATTGGAAAATCACCTCGCCCACAAGCATTTATAAACGCTCCACGCCAATCAAGGAGCCACGTAGCTTGAATTGGTGGCAATGGAGAGTGTAGCATTGCTATTTGTTGCATGAGATCGAGACAATCCGAAGATGCTAGATCCTTAACTGCTTGGACTGCTCTGTTTACATCCCAACGAAGACAAGGGTTTTCCGGAGTCATCTCTATTTTAACGGATTGTCGGCTGTATGTAGTACAATCGGAAGGCTTTTTGCCTTGAGGAATCAAAAGCTCAGCTAATTCGAACTCTTCCACATCCAAAGCTATGGCGTGGGTCCTCTCAATTACCAACATTGTTTCTTCCTCACATCCATAATGGCAAAGTAGATTCTTGTGCAGCCATCGGACGGTATCAAAATGTCCCCTCGTGGCAGCCACTACAATAGCACGATGGTGCCAATGAACCACATTCTTTTCGGATTGGGACAATACTTTGTCTTGGTTAGCCACAAGCTTCATGTTCCCTACGCTTGACGATTCTTCACTCCAAAACTTTGCATTCTGAGTCATCAAATACTCTAAAACTGGGGTGCATCCGTTCTCAGCTGCAGATTCAACAACTCTAAAAGTAGTTTCACATCCCGAGAAATGCGCGAACAACCACTTTACCATCGCCAAATCTCCTCTTGCAGCAGCCACCTCCAACGACTTGGAGAACTGCCAGCGATAATAAAAGGTATCCGACTGCAAAAAGTTCGTTAAAGACCAGTGAGAGGGCCTATCGGCAGCACTATTACAGCTCAAAGCCCAAATTCGATCCAGTAGCAAGATGGAGCCAAAAGTGCATGCTGGAGCAAGCGAGAGGATCGGTGAGAGCTCGATACACTCGGAGATAGCTCTAGAGGAGATCTCAAAATCTTGTACACTAGGATACTGGCGAAGAACAAACTCCAACAACGTGAACATCGAAATTCAAATGTGAGCCTCAAGATCGACACCAAACCAAGATCAAAAATCCATCAATCTTGCCCATTTCCCTAAATTTTCATTGATTGATGGGTCTAGCTAGATGCAGCATTTTTAATTAGAATCGCATTGCAAACGGGTTTAAGCCTTTATCCAACGTTCCTGCCTCTTCAAGTGGTTTAGTTTCAACTCAACTTGCGGGATTCCTCGGTCTGCGTAGTTTCGTTCTGTTTAACGGCTCCAAAAAAGCAGATGGGGATTGACCGAGCACACAAAGGCCAAAATCCGAACAACATAAGAACACAACGGAGTTGTCAATTTGAACGATACGGGCCCGCGCCACATCTTCTGATGAAGAGTCCGTTGAGTGCAAGTATGTATACTACGTCGAAGAAGTGAGCGCTTGAGAGAGCACAACGGTTGGAGGCATCATCTTGTGACGTGTTAGCGTATTCATCTTAGTCGATTGCCTCTCACTATCCTATCAGTAGTTGTGAAGTCTGACACATTGTTCGCTAATATCAAGGAGCACGAACATGCCGCAAACGTTTATTCCTATGTGACGACAAATCGGTGCTGTTTCCTTGCACTCCAGAGCCCTCCAATCAATAGATACAATTGCAAGACAACGAGCAATATGTTTTCATCAAGAAGCAACGACTTGTAATTGTAGGACGAGAGAACTAGGCTAGAACAAGTAGCGCATCGTACATGAGTGATATTCGCATTGAAAGCTATTAGTTGTTCTGGTTCAGCCTCTTGCTGTACACGTAGTGACCTTCTAAGGTATTGGAGGTGCGATATGCTGAGGACGTCCAACCAAGAAAAGGAAATTAAGAGTATACAGGAATCAGAACCTCGCAGCTTTAGACGAAGCTATTATTAGGAAGATGACCTTGACGAATCGACGGACCAGCAACGCGGATCCAATATTTAGTTGACCAAACCAAAGAAGAAGCGTAATGGACGGTGACAGTAGTCAAAACTACCAGCCTAAATAGTGCTTCATCAACGGCACTACCTTGCTGTTGAACCCAAGGTGTCGGCTCGTCGGCATGGCTGCACTATGCCACTCGCAGCGGTTCTAACAAGATGACAGCCGAAGACTACCAAGTAGATAGCATCTTATAGGTGCTGACAAGGTCAATTCCCAGCTCAGCATCACCGATGCTCTCAACTTGCTTTTGTAATGAAGAAATGGCTCAATGCTTGCGTCCACGTCATGTGAGCCACTCACCTTTCCTCTATTACAAGCAATGAACAAGTCGCCGTGAGTTTTTTTATCATCAACACCTATCAGCCATTCTAACCACGTTATGCGCTTGTAAGGTATTGGATTCGTGCATGCCTCTCGCTTCACACAGCGGGTAGACTTGTTCTTGCATTGGTCGGCGGAGTGTTGTAAGTAAGGAGCTGAAGGATACACAGGAGTCGTAAGCAACGTGATTTCGTATGCATTTATGAGCCACATGGGTGGAACATGCGTGGATAATGATGCAATTTATTAACTTGCCAACGAGCCTTGTGTAAATTCTTCCAGATGACCCTTGTAAACCTGATACCAAACACTCTCGAAAATGCTTTAGTGCAACGGATGTGACTTCTAGCTATGCAAAAGTACATTTCGTTGATTGAATCATCCGCATCTCTAACTATCGTATATGTCATCATCTAGCTAATGTACTGCGTGTTTCTTTTTCACTGTACATCACATGGTCGCTTTTGCGGTTTTTCATGTGTATTGATTCAATTATTGTGGCTTTAGACTACGTCGAGGGCTGCTCGTCTTCATTATTACTAGTCCCACGGGATGTGCGCGTAGTGCGTGGTAGCTTTAAGCGACCACAACACTTGGGAGTAGCCCTTGTAGTCCTCCCACGAACCGTCTCTCTGAGTGTGTCAGCGACGATGAGCCACAACCTTGATTGGCTAAGTTGTCTACCTCTCCGATCATCATCGGATCTGGCAAAACATATAACGCAGGGTTTTGGTGAATAAACCCTGGCCAATTTTTGGGAGGCCCAGACGCACCTAAATAGCGGGTACAGTGTGGCATATATCATTCATTTATTGTAGCCGAGCTAGCCCAGAGGAAGTAGTCAAACTACTGTAGCAAAGCTACTTATACGCTATGTGTACAGGAAGACAAGCTCAGAGAGCTTCTACGTCTTAGGGTGCTTAACCCTCCTAGGCTAGCTCGTAAGCTTGTGCTATCGGTATTAACCAGGTCTCAAAGAGACTAGTATCAAAGATACTTAATTCCTCAGGAGGAAAAGTACGCTCAAGCAGTGTGCTTATAGAGCAGGTTTGAAACTGATTTATATTTATGTTTATCTGTTAACACTAAATATAGAGGCACCTACTCTATACTTGGTGCTAGTCACTATTTACTGGCTCTATAGTCTATTATTAGTATGCAGACATGCATAGTCACTATACTTTAAATAAGTAACGTGGCTCTCTGCCACAATGCGACCCTTCGTTCCTTAGGTACGGTCACATCAAGCCTACCCAAAGTACAGCCACACCATTGGTGTGGCAGGTGTGTAAAATACACACCTTCGTGTAACCCCGTTACATCCTCCCACCAATCCGTGGGACCCGACGTACCCACGGTTTATTACACTTAATGGAGGGCATCGTTTTTATTTTCTTCCCATTTTGCTTGCCTCGCAATAAGTACTTGCACTTGCGAACAAAGTGATAGTGTTTTCACCACTTGCTCTTTGAGCACCTGTGCCTTGCACACACGCTTTCTAAGCATCCTAGTGTTACGACACTTGCTCCTTGAGCATACAGTGCATTGCACTCACGCTAAATCATTATAGTGTTTCGACACTGTTAAGTGCCTATCATTTGGAATTAATACCCTTTGTGTGTTTTACGAACACTTGCTTTTACGACATTATGTCCTAGCACTTGCCTTAAAGCATATCAGTGTTTTAAACACTTGCTTATAAGCGATTGAGCATATAAGTGTGTAACACTTGCTCACAAAGCACCGTAGTGTTAACACTAGCTTAAAGTACACAATGGTGTCTAACACTAACGTACAAGCATCTAAGTGCTCAACACTTTCCTATAAAGCATATTTTTGCGTAACACTTGCTTTTAAAGCTTCTTAGTGTTCAATATTCGCTTTTAAAGCAACTAAATGTTTAACACGTGCTTATAATGCAACTTAGAGATGAAGACTTGCTTCTATAAAGCCTCTAAGTGTTCAACACTTACTTATATAATCCCAAAGTGTTGTACACTTCTGATAAAGCTTCATAGTGTTTCACACTTGCTTATATAAAGTCTACAGTGTTACTTTTGCTTATAACGCACACCATTACTTACCACTTGCTTACATAAATCCCCAAAGTGTTGTAAACTTGCTTATAAGCTTCATTATGATTAACGCGTGCTTATATAACAGCTAAGCACTTCACACTTATTTTATTGCACCGTAGCGCCCAGAACATGATCATGGAGCCATAGCGTGCTATATCCACTTGCTCTTGGAGCTCCCCAAGTGATTACACTTTGCGTATTATATAGACAAAGCCATATACGCCGTAATTTTTGCTTCTGAAGCAGATAATAGTACTTTTCAAGCGAGTGAGGTACCAGCAACTGCTTCCTAAGAAGGTCAGAGGTGAAGCCTAACTACTGACCTTGCTTCCACAGCACTTAGTGCTAGGAAGCATCCGGCGACTGCTGTCGCCGCTTCTGATCTTCTCAATCAAAAGCTTCAACGACGTCCGGGCAATCTTGCCGTGGGGGTACCTCGTACTCCCATGAGTCATATGGCTGAGAATACCTCCTCCACTTTACCAGATACCGGGTGTGGCCCTGATGAAGACGTCACGCCAATAGACGCTCGACGTGAATTGGCGCGACGTGAAACTGTTGATGACCCAGCTCATCAGTCAACGTTGGCAAGGGTCGGTGGACCATCGATCCATGATCTTTTGGCTCGCCTTCAGCGTCCATATGCACCTCCGGTGCCGTAATACCCGCCTCCTTCGGCCGGGAATTCGGGGACAACCCCTCAAAGTCTACCGAGGCAGGGTTGGTATATAACTTAAGCAATCCTACGTAGAACACAGGATGGGTTCTCACCTTTTTCGGAAGGTTCAGCGTATAGACTAAACCTTTCTTGCTTATGGTCTTGAAAGGTCCAATAAAGCGTGGAGGTAGTTTCGTTTTATATACCGCCGACACCGCACGTGTCGGCAAATTCCTAGCGTTTAATAAAACCAAATCTCCCATTTTAAACTCACGCTGTTCTTCCTGCCTTTGGTATCTGCTTGCTCCTTCTGAGCATCCTGGCTTTCAGCCATAGCGTCTTTGACGCGCCGTAATACGTCAAAAAGCGTTGACAAAACTATTCTACCTTCTTGCGCATCGCAACAGGGCTAATATCAGCTAGCCTTTGGCTATCTCTCCCCCCACTAAGCCCTGATGTGGCAGGGGGTAGCGTTAAAGAATCGCGAGGGTTGACCGATACATTCGCATAGAATGGGGTGAAGCCTGTCGAGGCATGCGCCGCGTTATTCAACGCAAACTCTACCAGAGGAAGCATCTCGATCCATTGCTTGGGTGTTTCAGCACAAACACTGTGAAGCATATCACCAATAATGCGGTTGACGCGTGCAGTCTGGCTATCGGTCTGCAAATGATCCCCGTGGATATGTCCTGTCAAGTGCCCAGCACTTTAAAGACGGAAGTCCAAAATTTACCCATAAAACGGGGTCTCTATCCGAAATGGTTGCCACAGGCAATCCGTGTTGTCGAAACACACAATCCATAAACAGCTTTGCTGTTCCTTCTCCATCAATGGAGTCCGGCACTGCCGCTAAGTGAGCCATCTTGCTCAATCGGTTTACAAAGACCACAATCTCAGTGTTGCATGCCGCATCACGCGGTAGGCCAAACACAAAGTCTATACTAATGGACTGTCACAACCCCGAGGGTACAGGCAAAATTGCCAAGGCACAGCCATACGAGGCGAAGTCCTTGCTGTTGCTGCGTCTAACGTAACCGTCAACGCCTCTGATCAGCCAAAAAACGATGGCAGCCAGGTAGGCGCGGGGCGTCCTACTGGGTGGAAACAGAGACGCGTGTCTGCGGTGGTGACGCGTTCTCCTAACCCCGCTGTGCAATATGCACAACTAAATGCCACCACTTCCAGCAATGATCCGTATTTGATCGTGCTTAGTGTTCGCGTTGACGGTGCCTTACGTCCACGTTGCGCATTGCTGGACTCAGGCGCGACGGACAATTTTGTCCGCGCCGACAGCTTATTCGTTTTCCCGTCGCGGTTGGCTGTCCACGAGTCTTCAGGGAAGATGATCGCCAAGTATGCGGACGGCAAGCCCCCGCGCGCACCCACATCGTCCTGTTGTGTCTTCTTGCAGATTCGATGCTTTCGAGAGCAGTGATGAATTCTAAGTTATTGACTTGAGCGGTTAATTCGACTGCAATTTTGGGATGCTGTGGCTTGCACGGCATCGACCCGACATCGATTGACTGAACCGCGCGGTTCACTCACGTGAAAGTGATGTCAATGGTTCTCGCCATTCCTACCAGACCGAAGAGTACTTGGCAGCATGTTGCTGTCGTGGATCCCGAATTCACGACCGATCATGCCCCTGAAGTGTGCGATGGCCCTTCGATCATGATGTATAACTCAGCAATCGGCTCCTCCTCAGCCGAACAGTAGTTCCTGAGTCAAGAATCTAACCCGCAGCAGTGGCAACGGATGTCTAATGGTCGAGTAGCGGCTCCCATGCGTGTGCGTTCTTCCAAAACCGCACGAAGGCGGAGACCTTCCTTGCGTCACGAGCGAGCAGTGGCTCCCGTGCGAGTGCGAGCTGCAAATCTTGCGCCGGAGCAGAGATTTCCAGTGCAGCTCCAACCCCAACCTCATCAAAGCAGCGGCTATTGATGTGTCACGAGCGAGCAGTGGCTCCCGTGTTAGTCCCTATGGAGGACACCGTCGAATCAGCGGCTTTTTTTATACGACTTACGCGGAGGCAGTGGCTTCCCCGTACAACTGGTTGTGCAACCGGTTCGTGTTCCTGTGTCACGTCGTCGCCGTGGGCGGCGTGTTCGTGTTCATCCTCCCTTGCCGATACCAACTCTTCCGCCGGCGTCTCCATTCAAGACCATCAATGTCGTTAACATGACTAATGCTGGTCCGCGCAGCCATTCGTTACAGGTCGCGAGTCCACCTCGCGACGCGTCTGGCACTACGCAGCTTCAAAACTTTTTTAAAATGAGTTACTGCATGGTTTGAAGAGCGGGGAGATCGAACAGCTATCTCTGTCTAGCCGCTTAAGACCCCGATCTCAACACCCACGAGCGTCCAGAAGGGATGGAGCCTAAGTTCGCACGCGAGGAGCGCTTTGCGGCACAATCCTGGAACGAAATTGTTGCGTCAAAGAATACTGTTCTCGCGCTTTTGCGCGAGTTTGCCGATGTCTTATCTGATAAAATTCCTGCAGTTCTTCCTGTGGATAGAGAAGTGCGGCACGATATCGATCTCGTGCCCGGTTCAAAGTACTGCGTCACTCGACCGTACCCGCTCCCTCGTAACCAAGTCGAAGCTATTGACGCCTTCTTTGAAGGGCGTTGCGCCGAAGGTCACGTGCGTGAGAGCACGTGTACCCATTCTAGTCCCACCTTCTGTGTTAGGAAGACAACGGGAGGATGGCGCATCGTTCATGCTTTTAACAAACTGAACGATGCAAATATTCCGGCGCAGACTTAAATCCCTCGGAAGGACATGGTCTTGGATGCCATGTCGGGAAGCACAATTTTCGTGTCTTTGAATTTGACAGACGGCTTCTACCAGATCTTGATGCGGACTCAAGATGTTCCTCTCACTGCCTTCAGTACACCTCGTGGTATGCTTTGGGAGTGGCTTGTCATGCCGAGGGAGCTCAAGAAACCCCTGCTACTTTCAACCGCATGGTCTCCCACGTGCTTCACCCATTTCGCGATTTTGCGCCAAGCTATTTTGATGATATCTTCGTGCGCAGTCGCGCATCCGATTGCGCGACTGAATTGGACGTGCATCTTGATCACCTTTGCAAAGTTTTTGACGAGATGCGTGAAAACAAACTGTATGCGAACCTGAAGAAATGCATCTTCTGTGCGCCAGAGATCCCAGTGCTGGGCAGTTACGTGAGCGCGAAAGGTTTTCGCGCTGATCCCGAGAAGATCTCATCCGTTTGCTCATGTTCGGTTCCGAAGGACGAGAAACACCTTCGACATGGCTGGGTCTGGCCATCTACCTGCATCACTACGATAAAGACTTTGCGGCAGCGATTCATCCATTATCACAGCTACTGAAGAAGGGCGCCACGTGGGTGTGGCGTCAAGAGCATCAGGATGAACTCGACGAGATCAAAAGAGACTCTCGACAGCTCCTGTGTTAGCTCAGCCGAATCATGACGCGCCATTCCATGTTGTCTGTAACGCGAGTGATTTTGCTATTGGCTGTGCTCTGATGCAACATGATGATGCGGGTAAAGAGCGCGTGGTCAGCTATCAATCTCGGCAGCTGAAGCCTGCAGAGCGAAACTACCCCGTTCATGACAAGGAGTTGCTTGCAATGCGTGATGCGCTTGTGAAGTTTTGCGTTTATCTGCTTGGAGAGCAGACATTCGCCATCTACACGGACCACGCGTCCATGCGTACCGCCACAAAGAGCCCCCATCTCAGCCAGCGCATGGCGCGCTGGTTGTCGTTCTTCGCGGAGTACAACTTTTTCGTGTGCCACAAGCCTGTATCGACCAACATCATTGCCGATACCCTGTCACAAAGTCCTAATTATGATTTCGCGCCGAAGCTTCTGTTTCCGCCGCCCCAGAGCCGGATGATGATGACTGTGCGGATTGCGTTACATTCGGTCTCAATGCTACGGCTGTGTCTGCAGTCAACCCTCTCATCGCTGATATCGAGGAAGTGTATTCCCGCGATGACTTTTACTCGCCAATTGTCCGGTATTTGGGTAACCCCTCGGATGATGAGCTACGGTCCCTCTCGACTACCACTCGCGCACACATCACACGCTATGCTTTTGATGGTAAGCTGCATACATACCAAATCGATTATTTCGGTTCTCCACATATTGACGTCCCCTTGACGACGATCTTCGTGGGAATATTCTTCATGAGTATTATGACAGTGCGTCGGGCGGTCATTTGCGTCGCGACAAGACATATCTTGCGCTGACTCGGGACTTTTATTGTCCCCATGTGTACAAGTGGGTGCGTAAATGGGTTCACTATTGTGAGGTTTGCCAGCGTGTGAAGCCAGCTCCGTCGTCACAAGCGCCCCTTTGCCCGTTACCGATTGCCACTGAGGTTTGGAGCTCCGTGAGTATGGTTTTCGTGTATAATTTACCCGCCGATGCGCAGGGGCGCACTGGCATCTCGGTGATCGTTGACAGGTTTAGTAAGATGGTGCATCTTTCACCTGTTGCGGCTTCCATCGCTGCGGAAGAGACATCAGCTATCTTCGTCAACATGGTCTTCCGACATCATGGCATGCCTGCCACGATTGTTTCGGATCGAGATCCTCGCTTCACCGCTGCATTTTGGTCTAGGTCTACCAACGAGGGACCATGGTCAACCTTCTCTTTGACTTACCGGTCCTCTCGCCTACCAATTCTTGAAACTCTTCACTACAGTAGCAGGGGCGTATTAATCCCCTGCGGCATCACGAGCCATTCCCAGAGCATTCCGCTGGGTGTACTAATCGCTGTTAGGAAAATGTCCTTTAAACGCATGAGGATTTGATTGAATCCGTCCGTCGGATCCAGAGTGAGAAGATCATGCTGCCCGACATGGTGTTCAAACCATATCCTTCCGCGGAATCGGGGTCTGTGCAGGGATTGTAGCATCGTTCAGCTTGCTAAAGACGTAAACGGTGCGCAACCTTCCGGTCGCTTTCTTAACACAGAACGTGGGTTCGAGTCTGTAGAGACACTCTTACTGACGTGACACGCCTGTTTTCGTCCTTCGAAGAAATGTGTCAATCGCATCAACCTGATCACGGGGAAGCGGCCACTAATGCGTAACACAATATTTAGAACCTGGCACGAGATTACTTTCGTGCCGTACACCACGGTCAGCAGGTAGGACAACAGAAACCTTATCCGGGAAACATCAGAAAAGTCTCGTGCCAGTTTTCTAACCGGATTATTCGAGGACGCGAGCTCATTCTATGACTGCGCCGCGAAGCGCTCTTCGCGTGCTGACTTTGGCTCCATCCCTTCAGGACGCTTGTGGTTTGCGAGCGTCGTCTTGTCGACAACAACACATATTGTTGGATCTCCCCCCTCTTAAGATCACGCAGCATTTCATCCTAAGACACTTCCAGGAGCTGCGTGATGCCAGACGCGTCGCAAGGTGGACTTGCGACTTTGAGCGAATGGTTGCTGGAACCTGTACCAGCCAAGATCACCGCGCTAATCAATTCTAATGCTGAAATTGGTGTGGCGGATCGCGCTTGCTGAAGGGAACTTGAACGCGCGCGTCGCTGTCGACGGCGCTGAGACGTTGACCGCTGGGGTGTCGCGTCAGGCTTGGATTGTGGGAGCCCCTGCTTGACCACAACTACACTCGACTCAGGGAAATTCTGTTCGACCTTAGTCTTAATCTCGGACACCGAGCGCTACTGTGCTGGTGTTTCATCGGGGCGAACGGAGGACACTGCCGGTCCGGAACGCGTTGGAGCCACTGGCCGATCATTACGCACCGAACGCTACTGCGTCGGTGCTTTACTTCACTTAGTAACCACTGTTCAGCTGAGGGGCACAATTTGCGTGGTTGCACTGCGGGCACGAAGGGCCATCGCTCTCGTCGCAGGAGATGTATGTCGAGGAGTCTGGGTCACGACAGCGACGTGCGGCCATGTTTTCGCCGACATGGAGAGGTAGGCGAGAACCGCGGTGACATCGATAGCTCGTGTCTGAACCGTGCGATTCAGCCAATCGATGTCTGGACGATGCCGTGCAAACCACAGCATCCCAAAAATACAGTCGAATGATCCACTAAGGTCAATTACTAGGAATTTATCACTTCTCACAAAGCCGTCAAATTGATACGGCGCAACTACGGAACGCTGTCGCAGCGTGCGTGGCTTGCCGTCAGCATACTTGACGGTCATCTGTCCCGATAGCTCGCGGACACACAGCCGCGAGGGGAGAATCTTCAAACTTTCGGCGCGAATAAAGTTATTCGTCGCGCCTGAATCCAGCAAAGCACGAAGGGGCCGACTGGCGCCGTCGACACACACACTGCATTTGCGATCGCTGTGGGACGGTCATGACTGGAGGCACGGTGATTCAAGGTCGTTGGGTCGCGGTGCTCGAGAATTTTATCGACAATCCAGCGCGGATTCCCGGCGCTATCAATCATCGGGGGAGGAC